ATTTGAGAAATAAGATCATTTTGTTAACTAAGCTAATTTCTACTTACCATCTGTGAAGTATGGATACTAATTTTGAAGCCTGTGTTATTTTTACTTGTATGCATTGTGATATTTTACTGTCTAATTTTCAGATGGGGAAGAAAAATTGACTTCCTTTAATATAAGACTGTGAGGAAGGTTTCACTAATATCTGAATGGTCCTCAAGTACGGAATCACCAGGGTAGATTCTTAAAAATATTGATGACTGATAGCCAAGATATGGAAGCAACCTAAATGTCCATCAGTAGATGAATGGATAAAGAAGATGTGGTACATATACACAATGGAATATTACTCAGCCATAAGAAAAAAACAAATCCTACCATTCGCAACAACATGGATGGATCTAGAGGGTATTATGCTCAGTGAAATAAGCCAGGCGGAGAAAGACAAGTATCAAATGATTTCACTCATATGTAGAGTATAAGAACAAAAGAAAACTGAAGGAACAAAACAGCAGCAGAAGCACAGAACCCAAGAATGGACTAATAGTTACCAAAGGTAAAGGGACTGGGGAGGACGGGTGGTAAGGGAGGGATAAGGGTGGGAAAAAAAGAAAGGATGCATTATGATTAGCATGTATAGTATGGGGGGGCACGGGGAGGGCTGTGCAACAGAGAAGACAAGTAGTGATTTTACAGCATCTTACTATGTTGATGGACAGCGACTGTGAACGGGGATGTTGGGAGGACTTGGTGAAGGGGGGAGCCTAGTAAACATAATGTCCTTCATGTAATTGTAGATTAATGATACCAAAATAAAATTTTTTAAAAAGTATAAAAAAAAGAGAAAGGCATGAATCATGAGTGACCTTTGAGTGACAGAGATTAATACAGATGTAGACAGAAAAGCCAGATGCAGAAAAGGAGAAAGAGGAAGAGGTGCATTCATAAAATTAGAGTGAGGGAAAGGACAGAGAATAACTTGAGCCAGTGTCTTAGGATAGATATTTTTTTAGTAATTTTTCAGTTAAAAACATCAATGAAAGAAAGTATAACAAGATGCTATTTAGTTAGTATATTTAATAAGATTTTAGAGAGAAGTGATTTAAGAATGACATCTTTTAACAGAAAAACCCAGAATTAAAAAGTAATAAAAAGTAAAACACTAAGCAATTCTTAGTGAAGTAGAGGAGGGGAGGATGGTTTGCACAGAAAGCCCAGGGGGAATATATCATCTCAAAAATTCTGATTTGTTTTTCTATGAGCATGCCTCCACCTTGAGAATTCCTGATGTAAGGCAAATTAGATGAACAAATGGAAAATTTGCATAGCTGCTTCTGGTCAAAGAAAAGGACTGAATATCTTAAAAAATAGGAATGTGACTTGCATTGAAGAAATGTTTACTTACTCTGAATTTAATGTATTTTTGTTATATAAAATTATCCAACAATAGCTGTACTGGAACGATAATGCCATCAGTCTCATAATGATATTGTCTGATGCCTTCTCACAATTCAATTCTTCTAGGTCCTACCAGAAAATAAATAAAGAGATTCACTAGGCTGGATAGTTATTATGAAATTCATGTTACAATATTTCAAGAATCTATAATATAGAAATTATAACTTGAGAAGAAGGATGAGTATGGCTTCCCATTTTATGGAAAAATTTAAATCATACTGGAAGTAGTAGGGGAAAAGCTACAGTAGATTGTAAAATAGCTTCAGCAAGAAGGGACCACAAATCTCCCCAAGTTCTAAATACGAGGAAAGAAGGTGCCCCTTTGTGGGCAAAGTCCTTTGCAGACAGGGACCTGGCAACAGTAGGAAATATGTGCAATAGAAAATGTGTTTAAAAACACATGGGATAATCTACACTGAATACTTAAGGAAGATGAAAAAGCAGCAGTTAATCAACTCCTAGGAATCTATATCTAATGGTCTAAAATCCCTTTTTTTTCCTTTAAAACAACTACTTTTTTAACACAAATTAATTTTTTTTATTTTGGTATCATTAATTTACAATTACATGAGGAACATTATATTTACTAGACTCCCCCCATCACCAAGTTCCCCCCACATACTCCACTGCAGTCACTGTCCATCAGCATAGTAAGATGCTGTAGAATCACTACATGTCTTCTCTGTGTTGTACAGGCCTCCCTGTGCCCCCGCCCCACATTACACATGCTAATCATAATGCCCCTTTTCTTTCTTCCCCCCCTTATCCCTTCCTTCCCACCCATCCTGCCCAGTCCCTTTCCCTTTGGTAACTGTTAGTTCATTCTTGGGTTTTGTGATTCTGCTGCTGTTTTGTTCCTTCAGTTTTTGCTTTGTTCTTATACTCCACAGATGAGTGAAATCATTTGGTACTTGCCTTTCTCTGCCTGGCTTATTTCACTGAGCATAATACACTCTAGCTCCATCCATGTTGTCGCAAATGGTAGGATTTGTTTTCTTCTTATGGCTGAATAATATCCCATTGTGTATATGTACCACATCTTCTATATCCATTCATCTACTGATGGACACTTAGGTTGCTTCCATTTCTTGGCTATTGTGAATAGTGCTGCAATAAACATAGGGGTGCATCTGTTTTTTTCAAACTGGGCTGCTGCATTCTTAGGGTGAATTCCTAGGAGTGGAATTCCTGCGTCAAATGGTATTTCTATTTTGAGTTTTTGAGAAACTTCCATATTGCTTTCCACAGTGGTTGAACTAATTTACATTCCCACCAGCAGTGTAGGAGGGTTCCCCTTTCTCCACAACCTCACCAGCATTTGTTGTTTGTCTTTTGGATGGTGGCGATCCTTACTGGTGTGAGGTGATACCTCATTGTGCTTTTAATTTGCATTTCTCTGATGACTAGTGATGTGGAGCATCTTTTCATATGTCTGTTGGTCATCTGAATTTCTTCTTTTGAGAACTGTCTGTTCAGCTCCTCTGACCATTTTTTAATTGGATTATTTGCTTTTTGTTTGTTGAGGTGCATGAGCTCTTTATATATTTTGGATGTCAACCCTTTATCGGATCTGTCATTTATGAATATATTCTCCCATACTTAGGATTCCTTTTTGTTCTACGGGTGGTATCCATTGCTGAACAGAAGCTTTTCAGCTTGATATAGTCCCACTTGTTTGTTTTTGCTTTTGTTTCCTTGCCTGGGGAGATATGTTCATGAAGAAGTTGCTCATGTTTATGTCCAAGAGATTTTTGCCTATGTTTTTTTCTAAGAGTTTTATGGTTTCATGACTTATATTCAGGTCTTTGATCCATTTTGAATTTACTTTTGTGTATGGGGTTAGACAGTGACCCAGTTTCATTCTCTTACATGTAGCTGTCCAGTTTTGCCAACACCAGGTGTTGAAGAGGCTGTTTCCCCACTGTATGTCCATGGCTCCTTTATTGTATATTAATTGACCATATACATTTGGGTTAATATCTGGATGCTTTATTCTGTTCCACTGTTCTGTGGGTCTGATCTTGTGCCAGTACCAAATTGTCTTGATTACTGTGGCTTTGTAGTAGAGCTTGAAGTTGGGGAGTGAGATTCCCCCTACTTTATTCTTCCTTCTCAGGATTGCTTTGGCTATTCAGGATCTTTTGTGGTTCCATATGAATTTTTTTTTTGGTATCATTAATCTACAATTACGTGAGGAACATTATGTTTACTACGCTCCCCCCTTCACCAAGTCCCCCTGGCAACCCCCATTACAGTTACTGTCCATCAGTGTAGTAAGATGCTGTAGAATCACTACTTGTCTTCTCTGCGTTGTACAGCCCTCCCCATGCCTTCCCCCACATTATACATGCTAATTGTAATGCTCCCTTTCTTTTTCCCCCCACTTATTCTTCCCTTCCCACCCATCCTCCCCATTCCTTTTCCCTTTGGTAACTGTTAGTCCATTCTTGGGTTCTGTGAGTCTGCTGCTGTTTTGTTCCTTCAGTTTTTTCTTTGTTCTGATAGTCCACATATGAGTGAAATCATTTGGTACTTGTCTTTCTCCACCTGGGTTATTTCACTGAGCATAATGCCCTCTAGCTCCATCCATGTTGTTGCAAATGGTAGGATTTGTTTTCTTATGGCTAACTAATATTCCATTGTGTATATGTACCACATCTTCTTTATCCATTCATCTACTGATGGACACTTAGGTTGCTTCCATATCCTGGCTATTGTAAATAGTGCTGCGATAAACATAGGGGTGCATCTGTCTTTTTCAAATTGGGCTGCTGTATTCTTAGGGTAAATTCCTAGAAATGGAATTCCTGGGTCAAATGGCATTTCTATTTTGAGCTTTTTGAGGAACCTCCAGATTGCTTTCCACAGTGGTTGAACTAATTTACATTCCCACCAGCAGTGTAGGAGGGTTCCCCTTTCTCCACAACCTCACCAACATTTGTTGTTGTTTGTCTTTTGGATGGTGGCAATCCTTACTGGTGTGAGGTGATATCTCATTGTGCTTTTAATTTGCATTTCTCTGATGACTAGTGATGTGGAGCATCTTTTCATGTGTCTGTTGGTCATCTGAATTTCTTCTTTGGAGAACTGTCTGTTCAGCTCCTCTGCCCATGTTTTAATTGGATTATTTGCTTTTTGTTGGTTGAGGTGCATGAGCTCTTTATATATTTTGGATGTCAACCCTTTATTGGATCTGTCATTTATGAATATATTCTCCCATACTGTAGGATACCTTTTTGTTCTATTGGTGGTGTCCTTTGCTGTACAGAAGCCTTTTAGCTTGATATAGTCCCACTTGTTCATTTTTTCTTTTGTTTCCCTTACCAGGGGAGATATGTTCATGAAGAAGTTGCTTGTGTTTATGTCCAAGAAATTTTTGCCTATGTTTTTTTCTAAGAGTTTTATGGTTTCATTACTTACATTCAGGTCTTTGATCCATTTTGAATTTACTTTTGTGTATGGGGTTAGACAGTGATCCAGTTTCATTCTCTTACATGTAGCTGTCCAGTTTTGCCAACACCAACTGTTGAAGAGGCTGTCATTTCCCCATTGTATGTCCATGGCTCCTTTATCGTATATTAATTGACCACATATATTTGGGTTAATGTCTGGAGTCTCTATTCTGTTCCACTGGTCTGTGTATCTGTTCTTGTGCCATTACCAAATTGTCTTGAGTATTGTGGCTTTCTAGTAGAGCTTGATGTTGGGGAAGAAGATCCCCCCAACTTTATTCTTCCTTCTCAGGATTGCTTTGGCTATTTGGGGTCTTTGGTGGTTCCATATGAATTTTTGAACTATTTGTTCCAGTTTGTTGAAGAATGCTGTTGGTAGTTTGATAGGGATTGCATTGAATCTGCAGATTGCTTTGGGCAGGATGGCCATTTTGACGATATTAATTCTTCCTAGCCAAGAGCATGGGATGAGTTTCTATTTGTTAGTGTCCAACATAAATTAATTTTTGATAGAGTGAGTAATTGAGGAAGTACTCCAATAGTTAGTTATATAACTATGGATTAAGCCAGTTTTCCCAAACAGTATTTCCCCCCAAATAATAGTTTTTTAAGAATGTTACATATGCAAGTCACAGTATCTCCTGACCACTCTAACAGAGAGTTTTGTGTTTACATCACATATTTCTTATATTGTTAATATTTGCTCATCAAATCAGATTTATACCTTAACATAATATTTGCCATTAATTTATACTCTTTATCTTTAAGCCTGGCTTGTGCTCCCCACTCCCACCCTATTAAATTAACCTCTTTGTAATTTATACTCAAATCAAACTAATATACTAGGGAGATTTGGTCAAGAATTTATATGTTAAATTCCAAACCACAGATTTCTGAAAATAATGTCTCTCTTTTAAAAAAAAAACAAACCTGTTTACACCCAGGCAATCTCTATACATTAGAGGAAATCCCATATTACCAATCATGGATTAATATCCTACCTTCTTTTAGAAACATAGTAGACAGGATTTGATTTTTAAAGTGTTAACACTATAATAGGTCAATATATAATAATATAGATTCTATATTTGCTTTATCTTTTTAGAGTATGTTAGAAGTTATAAGACATCAAAGAAGCTTGATAATAGTCATTTCCCACAATAATTATTTTAGCCCATTTGCAAAATTTTGTGAGAAATCACTAATACATTATATTTAAGCTAAAGTATAGTAAAGCTAAAAATAAATTACATGGTTATATGTATATTTCAATATACTTGATTCATGTTTTTTACTGTATAGCTTTACCTGCAAAATTATGGCAGTGTGTTCATCAATTGTCAGTACTACATAATGCTGTGTATCTCCAAAGAGTTTCAATGACTCACCGTAGCATCTCTCCATTAGTGTGATATTATAGCTAGAAAATACAATATTTTTGGGTGACATAATGAAATGGCTAAGAAAAATTCTTTAAGAAAAGCTGCACTGTCCTTCTGCAGATCAAATTATTTGAACTATTGTGCTTTTTCTTCCATACATCAGTTTATTCTACAGTATAAATTTGAGGGATGAAATTATGATTTATGCAGTATGTATGACAAATTGAGGTGTCCATTGCTTTCGTACATGACTGCACATAATAGTATTACAGATGTCTTGACCAATTTATTTTACCACCACTAATAATATAATAATTAAGAAAGAAAAACATCATATTATAAGTCTGAAACATTCTGCATTTGTCAGAATTTTCTTTCTCCTTAAACCTAGCCTAGATTTTAACTACCTTTTACAAGCTTATAGTTTTCTGTGAATGCCCCATGGCCTTAATATATAAAAACAAAGCCATGGAAGATAGATTTACGTTTTAACTAAGGTCACAGCACAGTTATCCTTTCTTGATATATAGTCCAATGTCTAACATTCTTGAAACAACTTGTGTGCTATAATAAAGTGTTTTATATGATTTAAAATGCTCACTATTGGTATGATCTTAGAACCAAAGGTCTAACAATTTGAAAATTCATTTAATTCATTTAGAACTTCATAGTCCTGTTTCCCAGGCAGTATTTCTCTAAATAAATACTCATTCTCAGTATTATCAGTGACCCAAAGATATGACCATATAAGTCACAGGAAAAAATCCCACATAAAATGTTCATATTTGCTGGTAAAAGAGAAGTGCAATTAAAACATAAATTTAAACGATAATGAAATATTTTTTCGGTACAAACTTGACATGTATTACCAGAACAGATAATATCCAATAAGTATGACGATGTACTATAGGGAGAGAAATGTAAACTGACATAAACTCTCTGGAAAACTATTCCTATAGGATGTAATTCTAGGCTAGAATCCGAAAGGCACAAATATAGCATAATACTTAGCCAATTCAGATACATGTACATTTGTTAAAGTTATGAAATCAATAACTTACTTGGATTCTAGCAACTTAAGTATTTCTGAAGTATTAAGAAGTCCTTCAGATGCAAAAAACACATATGGAATCTGAATTTCCAAAAGAAAACCACCAAAATGATCCAGCAAGGTGCTTCCTAAATAAAAAAAAGTTTATATTTCTCTTTTTTCTTATACCCCAGCTCTTTTTTTTCACTAGAATAATAGGTTTTTGTTCAAAGAGTAGTATAAAAATAAAACATTTAAAAAAATCAGAATAAAGAATAAAGAAAGGTCTGAAGAATAAAACAAAAACCATATGCTATCTTACTACCTAGAAATAAAAGAGTTAACAGAATTTACTAAAACTACATACTTAAAGTAGTGTTTAATACATGATTCTAGACTTTTTTCTATGTATTTCCATGTCTATACTCACACATGAACACTCAGTTTGAAAAAAAGGAAAAAAAATAGTATCATACTCTATCTGAATGTTAGCATCTGCTTTGTTCACTTAAGTACATGTTGGACATTTGCTGGTGAACATATACAGTAGTGATTTACATTAGAATTTAAAATTACGCAGCATTACCATAGAGAATGAAACAGACTAACAGAAAAAAAAGAAAAAACCTCAGTAGATAAAGGGACAAAGGACATAAACAGGCAATTTACCAAAAAATGGCTATGAAGATTAATTTACATATGAAAAGATACAGATAAGCAAAGATATGCAAATTAACACAACTATAAAATATTTTCTGCCCATATCGGTCAAAGATTTAAGAGATTAATAATATCTACTTGTACAGAGAAGGGGGAAAGGATTCTCTTACACTTTCTGCACAAATACAAATTGGGATAGCATTTCTGGAGTGTATTTGGCAATACATAAATGAGTGTATCTTTTGACTGAACAACTCATTTTACTTCTGGAATTTTTACTTTTTAGAAGAAGCATGTAATGATATATAAACTACTATAAGCCTTGTATTATTATAATGGAAAATAGGAGCATTATAAATGTCCCAAACAAGGAATTGGTTGAATAAATTAAGTTCATCTTTGAAAGCATGAAAGAAGTCTCTAAATGTAAACTAGAATGCTTATCTTTTATCCTTTCTTAAGTCCATGTTTCAATTATTTAATCAATTTAACATTTAATTGTACATATCAAAGATTCCAAAGTAATAATTATAGTGACTATATTTTTAGAACTGAGTTGGAATGTTTCAGAATTCAAACTTTCCACTCATACTTAAGGTAGATAGAAAGTAATTTGTGGCAAGTATTGAAAGGGAGATGCACTAAAAATGTACAGGCTTTTCAATTTAATGGATCTGAAATTCACTCCTTAGTTATGTAAAGTGTTACTGAGAAATACAAAGAAACGAAATGGTATACACAGTGGTTTTCTAAGTACTTCTATATAATTTTTTGTTGCATACTAAAAGTTTTCTGAATCAGTCAACATACTATTCCATGATTCCCCTAAAATTCAATAAAAAATACTATTGCATAAAAAGTATCATCTCAGGATTAGATATAATTTAATTAAATTGTGCTGTTATAAATAAATTTAGTAGTTAAAGGGATGAAGACAAAAATAATCAGTAAAGCTTATATTATGAATGAGGATATGAAGTAGGAGATGGTTAAAGGACTTGCTCAAGGTCTCACAGAGAGAGGTGAGCTTAGAGTTTGAACTCAAGTCTTCCAATGCCATAGTTCATTCTCTTTACATAGATCAGAAACAGAAAACAGAAAATTTTCATTCTAATGGAACAAAAAGAAAGGATCTTAGTTTTTAAAACTTACTCTTTAAAACTGTGTCTGGAAGTATCACTTTAAAGGTCGTATAAGGAATATTCAGTTTTTTGCAGTGTTTAGCCCAACAAGAGTCTTCTACAAAATTGTATTCCACCACAAATGAGAAATTACTCCAGGGAAAATCTGCTCCAATATATTGATTATATACAACTACACAGGAACTTGTGCTNAAAGCCACTTTTTAAGAAAAAAAAAAAAAGCCAAGAAAATGGAATTCAACTTGTGTCATTATTTACTTGGGATGCTAAAAGATGACTTTCTGGCAATTTTCCATTCTCTAATCTGTGTCCACTCATCTTGGAAAGGCACTGGTGCATTTTCTGTTGGTTTGTTCTCCAATTGTGCTAATCTCTTTTTCTCTTTGTTTTGGGAAGTTGTATTTTTTTTTAAACCAGGATATAAAAAACTGTGGACTATTTCACATCCTCAAATGCAAAGGACCCTCATTTTGTTATCTGAGTCCTATCAGTAACAGACAAATCATATGAGAAATCAATCTTATTTTCTTACAGATGTAAGGTTTTAATCTTTGAGAATCTATACAATAGAATATTATCTGACAACTAAGAAATTTTCTCCCCCCTCCCCAGTGCGTGGGCTTTGGAGTGACAACAACAAAACAGATAGATACTTAGATATCATAAATTCACCATCTTCAACTTTCATATAACAGCACTTGCTGTAATTAAAATTTTCTACTGCTCTTTTCCATCTATAGCAATCTAGATAGAATTTAAAAGGTATTTATGTCTAGCTTTTGTGGACTTCTATATGATTTATGTCTTCTCTTTTTATTATTTGGATCCCAATATTAGAAATAAATAATTTCTACATAAAATAAGGCAAAATTAAAACATTTTTAGGTAAGTTCACAGTAAATTTATTATTAGCAGGCTCTCACGGAAAGAATTTCTAAAGGATGTTCTTTAGGAAGAAGAAGAACCCAAAAGAAAGGAAGGAGATATAAGAAATATGCTGACCAAAAACCTGGTAAAAAAACAAGGTTAAATCTAAGTAGGCATTTTCTGTACTAACGACAACAACAATAGTGGTAATTTGGGGATGTTAAAATAAGATTGAACTAAAATTCTGGAGAACAATAATATAAAATACATAAGGCAATGACTGAGTTTAAGTGTTCTATGGAAAGCATTTTTCAGGAAGAGAGGAAAGATAGCAATTTCAGATCTTATTAAATTTTCTTAAAAAGTTCTAGGAGAAATTGTACTTTCCCTGTGGAATTGGCATGTTTGCTCCCCACATATGAAGAAATGCAACTTTACCCATTTAAAACACCTTCAGATTCCAGGAAATTTTTTCTTTTGTTCGAATGTAAGACAGTCAGTGTTAAACCTAAAAAAAAAACACGTTTTTTTCAGTGTTTTGTTCATGTGTATTTTTAGGGGTGTCATATATTTTGCTGCCATAAAAATGAATTAAAAATCTGTGAATGAGGAAACTGCTTAAAATATAAATTGCTGGATTATTTTTCTAAGTCTATGGTACCAGAAAGTTTGAACCATGGGCAATATTTATGGTATGTGTATATAATCATGGAAATTCTGAATTTATTATGTAAAGCAATAAGAGGAACAAAGACTTAATTTTAAGGTAACCAGATTAAACACATACCAATTCTGTGCAGTTAATTTTATTTTGCAAAAAATCATAGTTTTTTATGGAAGCAACCTAAGTGTCCATTAATAGGTGAATGGATAAAGAAGAAGTGGTACATATATACAATGGAATATTATTCAGCCACAAAAAAGAAACATCCTGCCACTTGCAACAACATGGATGGACCTAGAGGGCATCAGGCTAAGTGAAATAAGCCAGGCAGAGAAAGACTAATGGCATATAATTTCCTTCATTTGTGAAATACAGAAACAAAACAAAATAGCAATATACTCATAGACACTGAGCAACTGGTGGTTTATCTTGGGGGAGGGGTTGATAGTTTGGTAGGGTTATTTTGAGAGATGACAAAACATGCAGTTTATAGAGGGAAGAGACACAGTAAACAAAGGATGACCTAGGTTGACAGTTGTTTTATTTTATTTTTAGCCTGGAGGGCTTAAAGATGAAGGAAGAGAGTCTTTCAGGAGGAAGGTTGGGCTAAGAAATAACTAATTGAACAATGTTTGAGGCTGCAGGAAGAGATGGCATCTGAACCACAAGTGAAATACTGGTTTCTGAAGGGAGCAGGTGTGCCTCCTCTATAGAGAAAGATAAAAGATGAAATGAAGCTAAGTTTGTAGATAATAGGAAAGGAAACTGAGGAGGATTCATTTTTGTTGCAGAGACCAGTGAAATTATAAGATCAGGGTGTTGACTGAATCATTCATATTAAGATCACCTAGAAGTGAAGAGAATACCACGGAGCACAACTGTCCATGGATGATGGGGGATGTTCAGATGGTTACTGGATGATGGCCATACAGAGTAGTAGATATTGGTATGGCAACACAAAACAGCCTGAAAGGATGGAGGAATAATGTTTTGGAAAGGATACCAGAAAGCAAGGAATGGTTTTCTCATCCCTATAAGGTATATACATATAAACAAAATTACCAGCTTCTATATGAGAGGGATACAGGGGAAGCAGTATCATTAGGAGAAAGTTAGGTTTCACTTAGGAAAAGGAGGTGAAAAAGAGTTTACATGTAAGTAATAGGTTTAGGTTCCACAGCACAAGGTGAAAAGGGCTGACAGAGGGGGCAGTAGTAGGTAAAGAGTTGAAGAACGACCCAGGAACAAGAGAGACCTAGATTCAAATCCTGATTCCTCGTTTACTACTTGTAAGATTTGGCATGTTCCATCATCACCTTTAAGAACTTTAACTTCTTACAAGTAATGACTATAGCATCTTACTATGCTGATGGACAGTGATTGCAATGGGCTGAGGAGAACTTGATAATATGGGTGAATGTTGAAACCACAATGTTGCTCATGTGAAACCTTCATAAGATTGTATATCAATGATACCTTAATAAAAAAAAAGAACTTCTTTATTTGTAAAATTGAGTTAAAACTAATTCAACCATCATAAGATTATATATCAATACTTTAATAAACAAGAGGGAAAAAAACTAATTCACAGGATTATTTGTAAGTATTATTTAGTAAATAATAAAAATTGCCAATAATGTAAATATAGTGTACATATAAACACATTATAGTATATTTATATTGCGGACTTATAGTCCAGATTGATTTAAAAATTGGTTAGATCCCACTGAATTATATACTTTTAAAGGATGAATTTTGTGGTGTGTTAATTATATCTTAATTTAAAGACTTAGATCAATATTTTTTTATATATTCAAGCATTTATCAAATAAAGCATAAATGAAATCTCCCTACCTTCCATTTTGTTAAGGATTTTAATGAGTAAATGTTTTTCACCGTCTGAGTCCATTCTTACTATAATCAACACCTGATCAAAAATAAGAATTTCATATTATGTCTATCCTGAATGATTATTCTTTTTCATAGTTTTGCTATAGTGACAAAATCACAAACTTAAGTGGTTACATGAAACTAATGACAATAAGATTACAAAATAAATATTTGTATTGTAAATGATGCCAGTGCTTAAACACAACAGAGTAAAAAACCTGGTAAGATCAAATTTCAATGAGGCAAGTATTTTTGGGTAAGGTGTTCTTAGCATTCTTCAAGTATTCCCACATAGGTGATTCTATACATAAGTTGTCTGCTTGTATTGTTTAATTCAACCCAGACAAATTTGAACTTGTTGGAGAAAAGCAAAATTTTAATGCTATGCTTTCCTACTTACTTTTACATTTTAGTGGGGGAGGGGAGAAGGGTGGGAGTGGGAACAAAAAATCAATTTCAGTTTTAATTTCTTACTGATCGACTTGATTTATTTTAATGACTTAAGCAAGTTACCCAAGTACCCACAGAGTGAGGGATAAAGATATAGGAGGGCAGAGAGGAAAACTTTTATCTAGATTTAGTACAAAGAACTTAAAATGCTTTCTGTTTGAAGAGATTTTTAAAAGTATTTTCTCTTAAATCTTAATCAATGTAACCTTCATATGCTTAAAGTAGAGTGGGCAGAAAATTTCAATATAATACAAGGCATAAACTAAACACTTTTTTTGTAAAATTACATAAGATGAGATTCTGGCCCAGTATCAAAAAATGAATTATTGTAGTTCTATTACTGGGTATATGTTCATGAACCAATAATTATCAGACAAAACTTGTCAAATTTGGAAAACTAGTCCAGAGAAAAGCATGTATAGTAAAAACTAAAGTATTTTTAAATTCAAGACATGAATAATGATGCAAATCATTCTTTCTCTGGATCTGATTCTGTTCTGTTAACTTACTTAAGAAGAAAACTATCAAGGGACCAAATAGTATAGACTATTTTATAATTTCAAAGTAAAATTAAAAGCTTATTTTATATCCAATTTTTATTTAAGCTGACTTTATTCCAGTACTTACCTTAATTTGCTGTTCACTTTGCATCCAATTTAGTATCTGATGCTGCAATTTTTGTATTTTATAGTTGGTTTCAGGATTTTTCCCCTTAATAAACTGTACAATCTCTAGCTGTCTCCAAATGTCATCCAAATAAGAGCCTAAAATACTTCTGTAGATATCTTTTGCACTTGACAAATATTCTGTTAAAAACAAAAGTAGAAAGGTCAAAAGCATGTTTTTCTTTTTTGAGAAACTCCATGGTAAAAATATGAAAAGAAGTAAGAGTCATAACAGAGACAGTTAACATTCCCTTTTGTCCTTTTCTAATTTCAATTAAGGATATTGACCAGTGAAACCTTCAAATGGAGTGAAGCCACAATATATTTACCAAATGTCTCTTTTTAAGCTACATAACACCAGTATACCTGGCCACACTCTACATAGTCTCTAAATAGATTCCATCCTTTCCTGCCTTCCTGCTTGCTGAATGCCATTGCCTTTTTCCACAACCCCAGGATCTATATTTAATATGTAAGTCCTGTGGAAATGCCACTTCACTGTTATTTTCTTGGCATTTTATACAGCTTTGCACTTGATTTCTGGTTATTTGTGTATATTACCCCATTAGCCTATAAACTCAGGATATGATCCATGATATTGTGGATTACATATATTAATTTGTATAGCTGCTAAAACAGCAGGGCCTAAAGTCAGACTCACTAAGCAGTTTTTAAACACAGAATCCTGAGACCCATCCTTGAAGGTTTATATTCAGTAAATCAAAATAGTATCCCAGGGACTTCTATGTCTGAAAAAAGTCTCCTGGTGACTTTACTGCACAGTGAGTTTTGTGAATTACTGAAGTAAAGCACCTCGCATAGTAACTTATATAGACCATTCAACGAATATTTGGGCAGTAAATGAAATTATAAAATTAAAAATTTTAATGCTTATGTTCACATTTTTATATTTATGTGCATATTAATTCTAATTTTATATTAGTACAGCTAAAATTATGGGCAACTTAGAGATTGATGTAATGTCTTTCTGCCTCCTTACCTCCAAGCCTCCCTCCCACTGATTTTCCATACTGCCACTAGACATAACCTTCTGAAAGACAAACCTAATCCAGTAGCAGTCATTTCAATGGCTCCCCATCAACTATAGTATAAGATCTAAACTTTCATGTAACTTAAAAGCCTCTTCATGTTTTGGCTCTTTCTTACTTCTTAAGACTTAGCTCTTACTGCTTTACATCTTGTATTCTTCAATTTAGCCACAGGGAACTGCAGCACAATCACTGGGTCATACTTCTGGGCTCTTAATTCTGCCTACAATACCCTTTTGTACTACTTGGCAAACTCCTACTTACTTATTTTTTTTAATTCAGCTTAAGGTAACAGTCTCCATCCTTTGTGCCATTACTGAATATCTCTACTATAGCATCTATTACACAATACTGAATTTATTTCTGGTTAAATCCCAGAAGTGAAACTGTATGTCTTTAACCTTGAAACTCATTACCTTACTAGCTTAGGAGAGGTAGTGAACTAGAAGCTGGGACAAAATACAGAATTCTGGGAGGAAGCAGGGCAGGCAGCTAGATTCCTAGGGACCTTTCTTCCTTTGCCACTATGCAGAGAAAGGAGCATGACACATGTTGCTCTTTGATGTCAAGAAGTTAAGAGAAGTAAGGAAGCTCTCCACTAAAAAGACCCAAGGTAGCTAGGTGATTCATTAAAGCTTGGTACCTAGGGCTTAAGAAGTTAGTTTTCCAACAAGGGTTTTATTTTTATAGCATTCCTCAAGGGATCCAATTAGTAATACATTTTTAGTAAATTTGGTTTACTAAATGCAATTTAATAAATTGATTTATTTAATGCATTGAGGAGCAAAAGCTTAAGTTTATAGATCTCAATGGTCCCACTTAATCCTAGGGTAAATTGCAGAGTACTCGGAGGTAATATACTTTAAGGAATTCTCCATAAATATTATTTTCTAATTCAAGGTTTGATAAGTATTTAGTAGCACTGAGTTACAACTGTATTCTTTCTACAGCACTGGGAGCTCAGATCTAGATTCTGACATTCTGGCTTACTATTATGCTTTAGTAGTAAGCCTAGCTGTTAGTAGAACTGATAATCTTTTGTGGAAGCTGAAAAGTATGAAGACAGGTGACTAAATAGAAGGGCATATGACACTACACCCTTATACTAGTTCCAGATACTGTCAACTAGGGCCATAGTCCCCAGTCCTTAATTGTCTGGGGATGGAGACAACCTGATCCAGCATCAACACCCAAATGGTTTAAATGGAGAATAAAGGGAAGGCACCATGTTAGGCTTTCTAAACGTAACTGTAACTTAGTTATAATACTTGGTCAGATAATACAAATATAATACATAGGCAAGTATTATAACTCCCAGTGCTGCTGTAACTCACTGCTGCTCAATACTTATGAAAACCTTGGATTAGAGAAATAAAATTTGTCTGGGTCAGAGATTAGAGAAAACATCTGGGTCATAGTTCAGAGAAAAATTATCCTCACTATATATTTTTAATAGGTTTTAGAAACTCCATAAATTATAAAGTATAATCCTAAAAGAATACTATTACTAAACAAGTCTAAGTAATCCTACAGTAAGGGGCCTAAAGCATAATGTAGTAAGACAGATATTTTAATGATTTCAATAGTTTAGAAAAAAATTCTTAAATCATAAAAATCTCCAATGCACTCAAAATGGTCTAATTTTTATTACTATAGTAATTCATACCTAATTGGCATGCACAATTGAAAAGAAAGTGTAAAAGATTTTACTACTAATAATTTAGTTATATTTCATCTAGCAAAGATTCAAAGCCACAAACATTCAGTGAGGACCTAAAATGTATACAGCAAAATGTCATCTTATATTAAAAAGCAGTGCATGATAATGATTATACAATCAAGTCTGTGTAAGGCCATTAAGACTGTAATTCAGGCCTAGATTAGAGAATCCTAAACCCATCTTTCTAGGTGATGATAGTTGTTACAGATAATTTTTTTAAATGAATATAAGCAGAATAAATATATATATTCCATTGTAGTTATGTCAAAATATATGAAATGTTTAACATGGAAGTAGAAGAAGCTACATAATTTCTTATAAGGTAAGTCTTTCTCAGAAAAGTAGAAGTTATTTCTACTTCCTAATGAAATATTTCAATAGGAAGAAAAAGAGGAAATAAAGAATTTCTCCACCAACCCAATGCTGTGTCCAAGCTACATGTTAAAAGGACATCTCTAATTGTTACCAGAAGGTGTAAGAGAGCGGCATGCTTGAGTATCATTTCTCTTTCATCATTTGTACCTAAGTAAGCAAAAACATATTTTAAAACATAGGATATACTTAGAATTTTAGAATATGTTTCAGCATGCTTAACAATAATAGCTAACATTTATTATTGAGTGCTTAGTATGTACCAGGCTGGATATAACTTGGTTATTGCATTGAATCTATGACAATAACCCCATAAGGCAAGTTTATTATGATACCCATTTTATGAATCAGGAAATATGCTTTTTTTAAAATTAAAGTATCATTGATGTACAGTCTTCTGAAGGTCTCACATGAACAACATTGTGGTTTCAACATTCACCCATATTATCAAGTCCAAATGAGGAAATATTCTTAACAAGGTTAAGTAACTGCCCAAGGTCAATCTGTGAATAAACGGTGGAGCTGGCATTCAAACCCAGACAGCTAAAGTTGGAGTTCATACTCCTGTTGCTTCTAAAGAATATTCGATTATTTCTACATTGGTGTGAAAAAAGGTCAATGATTCCAAGTTATAAAACAAGAGAATTAAATTTATAACTATCCAAGTGGTTGAGATGAAAAATGCACTGAATGGGATTAATGGCAGGTAGAGGTTCATCACATAAAGCAACGCCCTGAAATAGAGGTAGACACCTGGGAATATTTGTCCAAAGATATGACTCAAACAAGAGATACATTCACAGGGACAGGCCAATTGTCCAGTTACCATGTTCCATGTAGTTTCAGACCTTTTTGAAGATAATAAATGGGATTTTATTGTAAAAGTGAGACCAAGAAGACAGGATTCTAGGCCCTCTGCCCCAGTTTAACCAGAGGAACTCTACTTTCTGTTTTATATAGTGGGAGCCAATGAAATATTAATTTGAACAGAGTTCTGCTGAAATGTTTGGTAATTGCTGTTCTAAAAAATGAAGGCCAAAGACAATATGTAGTAATCATTGGGAATCAAGAAGCAACAGGAGAACCAGTTACATAGGTAGTATATCTAGCCCCAGGAATGACTTGTGGAAACAAGTTAATCATGACCTGGAAGAGATGAGAACAGAGCAGAAAAACTAGATTTGTTACCAATTTTCTTCTGTCTTTAGGACTACATTTCCTTTAGTACAGGTCTACAGCTGATAAATTCTTTCAGCTTTTTATGTCTGAAAACATCTTTATTTCACCTTTGTTTTTGTAATATATTTTTATCTAGTATAGAGAACTAGGTTGATGGTGTTTTTCTTTCAGTATTTTAAAGATGTTACTCCACAGTCTTCACACTTGCACTATTTCTGACAAGAAATCTGATGTCATCCTTATCTTTGTTTCCCTTAAGCAACATAGGTTTTTTTCCTTTGGATGCTCCTGAAATTTTCTATTTATTACTGGTTTTGAGCAATTTGATTATGTCTTGGTGTAGCTTTCTAATGCTTCTTATGCTTAGGTTTTGCTGAGTATCGGATCTGTGGGTTTATAGTTTTGACTATGTTTAGAAAGCTTTCAGTGACCATATCAATTTTTTTTTCTGTTTATACACTTTTGCCTGTCCTTTGGGAACTCTAATTACTAGTATGTTAGGCTATTTGAAGTTATTTTACAGTCCACTGATACTCTTTCTTTTATTCTTTTATCTACTGTTCTATTTTGAATAGTTACTGCTATGCCTTCAAGTAAACTAACCTTTTCTTTGCACTGTTTAACCTGCCATTAATCCCATCCAGTGCATTTTTCATCTCAAGCATTGTAGTTTTAGTCTCTAGAAGTTTGATTTGCATCTCATTTACATCTCTAACGTATTGGACATATTGAATTATATGCTTACATTATACAGTTATAATAATTGTCAGTGCCCTTTTCTGACAATGCTAACCTTTGTCAGTTCTTTGTTTATTGATTATTGTCCTTATGGGCTACATTTTCTTGTTTCTTGTTAACGCCTGATAATCTTTGATTGGATGCCACACACTGTGAATTTTATCTTGTTGGATGCTAGGTATTTTTGTGTCCATATAAGTCCTCTTAAGCTTTGTTCTGGGATGCAGTTAAGTTCCTGGGAAACAGTTTGATCCTTTGGGTCTTGCTTTTTGGTTTGTAAGGCAGGTCCAGAACAGTGCTAAGTCTAGGGATTATTCCCCACTACTAAGGGAAGACTTTCCTAAGTACTGTACTCAATGCCCCGTGAATTAGATTTTTCTAGTCTACTGGTGGTCATATGCATTATTCCCTGCCCTGTGTGAGTGCAGAGTACTATTCCCTGTCATTTTTTTTTGATGGCTTATTTCACCAGTTGCAGGTAGTTTCCTCACATATACTCTTTGATCAGTACTCTTATGCATACTTGAGGGAGACTCTGCAGATTTCCAGGACTCTCTGTGTGAAGCTCTCTGGTCTCTAATATTCTATCCTTTGAACTCTAGCTGCCTTGGTCTCCCTGGGCTCTCAGCTGTCTCCTCAAGTTAGATTGCCTTTTGTGCTCTGCCTCTGGTACCCTCCCTGTGCAATGGCCTGGTAACTCTTCCAAGTAAATAAGCTAGGGCAATGGAAGGGCTCACCTCACATGTTTACCATCTCTCAGGAAGCAATGTGCTTCATTGCCTGATGTCTAGGATCCTTAAAAACTAGTTTAATTTATTTTGCTTTGCTTTTGTTTATTTCTGGCAGGAAGGCAAGTCTAATCTCTTTTACTCCATTTTCAGCAGAAGCAAAAAAAGAAGTGCAGGATTGACTTTAATTAATATATTTTTTAATAAGCCCCACTTTGGGGGAGGTACCTAGGTGGTTCAGATGCTAACAATAATACTGTTAATTTGGTTTCTGCAACAGTAATCTGTCAAGCAACATATGTCAGTTAGGAACTTCACTGAGAAGTAGTGCCAGATGACGTTTCCTACTTTCTTCTCCCTGTACAGCTGATCCTCCAGTATTGGTTTGTGGGTGCCATATGCTGAATTACAGTTATGCCTTTAACTATGACTAATTTCTTATATATTCAAAATTTAAAATTTGAAACAATAATCCATACATTTAAAAATAATTATCCTTTTAAATAATGTGAATTTTATTTGCACTCACCTTGGTGAATAGCATCACTCATTAATTTTTCTTGTTCCTTTAAGAGGAACCTTGTTTGGTCAAAAATAACGGTGGCAAATTTCCAATTAGCAGCAGGCAGACTACAGAGGAATGCAAGTTTTTTTAAGATAGGGGTAGCTGCTGCTTCTAGGAGACAGTATGCTTGGCACTGGCTATCTGCAAAAGTAAAAGCATTAAAGGCAAGTTTTTACAAGGATGGCCTGCTCTTTTTGACAAACCAATTAAACATGTTCATGGAAACCTGAGCTTTAGCCAAATTCTTTCCTGAGTTAAAAATCATGAGACTATATAAAGACTTATTTTAGAATATTTATTCTGAATAAAATAGTAAAACAAAACAAAAAACCCCTCCACAGAATTAGTATAATTTTATGGCCATCTTATTCATTATAAGGATTTATGCAGTAAGTAATTCAGCATGACAAGTAGTAAGAGCAATATAAAGAGAATCACATAATCTTTTATTTTCCTTCCACTATTAGTTTACAACCTTAAGTGGAACAAATTTATAACAATGACAAATTGTTTCTAGTTTTGACTAGGATATCAGTATTTAAAGATTTGCATTATCATCTAAAGGTCACAAATAAAATGGAACCAAAAGAATGAAAAAATATTCAAGAACAGGTATCTTATTTCCTTATGATTTTAATAAAGAGCATGATATTCTACAGCAGGCTCTTACAGAGTCAAAGAATATTCTTCACAGCAGGAAAAAAATGTTTCATCAATATAAGAATCAATAATAACTTATTTCCATCACCCTTACAGTGGATAAGACAATAGAGAGAGCAACCATTAGTAGTTCACTTTTCCAGGCTGGGCAGAAGAGTCTGAGGAATTGTAGTTTGCTCTTCTCTGATGTATGTAGGGAAGCAGCAATGTAAATGAGGGGAAAAGTAACACTTAGTGGACTGGAGTAGGGGCAATAGGAAGGAGCAGAGGCAGTGAATGGGGCATTCCAGGTTTGGAAGTAACTTGAAAGTAGGAGTGGAGTGAAGAAAAATCTGAAACAAGTGAATAAAATTACATGGAAAATGAGGAATGTCCTAGATACCCAGGAAAGGGCTTTCAAATTTGCTTAATTTGAATGCATTTCAAAAGCTTATAGCATACCTGATGCTTGACTTTCAATGACATGACTTGTGCTCCTTTCCTGATTTATATCCTCTTGGGTTTTATTAGTACAAATAATAGGACTTTCTTCTTGAAGAGTCAGAGAATGTTCTTCTTTATCTCGAAATTCTAATAAAAATAATACTTTGCATTGTTAGGGAAACAACATTCCTTTACTTAAAATGCTTTCTTGTAATATGATCACAACTGTTAAAGTTCTTTGAAACACATCGATATTAAATTAAAGAACTATTCAGGTCAGTGGACTTCACACTGTGCTGGATAGGAAGCTGAACTGGTAATAACAGAAAGGAACTTGACATCAGATCAGTGTTTCAATCGTAGTTCTGACACTAGCTTCAGTTTCCTCATATGTAAAATATGGATAAATACACCTACTTTGAATATTGTTAAGGAGTAAACACCTAGTTCCTCACACCTAAAAGGCATGTATCATTCTACTTTTTCTCTAACTTTCCATACACCCTTCCATCTGCCATTAATCCTCTCCTATTGCCCCAAGCTCTCCCTATCTCCATCCTTTCTGAATTAGGTAAGTTCTTACTACTACTCACCCTTCAGCTCTCAGGCGTTTTCTATAAGAAGCCTTATATAATCGCCCACTAGACCTCCAGGATGGCACAGCACCCCTTCTTTTTGTTTCCTCAGTCTCTGTGCTACCTCTCTCCTTACACTTCCCAGGTAATATTTTGATATATATTTTACTTCTTGTCTTATTTTATAGTTGATTCAGGGGTAAAATCCTGTGTACATTGATAGTATACAGACAGTAAGACCTAAGTATGCTCTAACTCTCACATACAAATATTTTGTACTTATTTCATCTGAGTAACCTATGTCAAACACGTTCTAGAATACTTTTTTTTTTTTTTTTACCAGAAGTGAAATGGTATCATACATTACACTACCTTTGATATGGCTATAAGCAATGAGTAGAAAACAGTTACAAGTCTAACAGAAACTCTTTGGTAAACTTAAAAAGAGTAATAAGCTATCAAATGGGCAAAGTGTTTTTAAGTACACATTAAAATGTAACTTAAATACTGAGATAGAACTGTCAGGTAAAAGAGAAAAATGAATGGCAGAATGATCAACAAAAGGTAGAAATATTATGAATCTGTAGAGCCAAGTTGCAGAAAGCAAGTTTTACAAATAGTGGGTTTCTTACAAGTTCAAACACACTTTTTAAATTTTCAGAAAATACATACCTACACGTATATCTATCCACTCACTTCTATCTCCATACACAATAACTTCCATGAATCAATGACATATTATTTGACTTTGAAAAATAATATATTCTATCTGAAAGTGCTTCATTTATCTTCTATAATAAATTATACAATTAGTCCTTGAAACTATGGTATCTATGCCAAAACATTACTAAATTACCCACCATCATTTTCATCCCTATGTGTGATGTCAGTCTTTGAGGTGCAAGTCTTATACTTATTTCGCAGCAAAATAAAGTCGCTCAAAAGGTCCAAATCATTCTCCTGCTTTTTACCAAGTTTAAGCGATGCTTTTTCAATTTTTGAAGAGCAAGATGATTCGATAGGTGGTACTGTGCAGTCAAGTTCCAAGTAATCTTCATTTTCTTTATTTTTATTTATTCTATAAACTAGTTCTAGATCATTCTTTGGTTTTTCTTCTTTTGTTGGTCTTTCAACAGAGATATATTCATCAGAAAAACACAGGTCTGGTACTTCTTTTGCCAGAGCTGGACTCTTTTGTGAAAGTGATAAATGATCATTTGTAGATGTCTCATTAATAAGTATAATAGGTGAGGAACAACTTGTAGGTTCTAGCCATGCTGAAATCAAAATAAAAATATTCAAATGACTTCCATGCCTAAATAAGTGTTGTACTAGGGTATTAGGTAACTTTCAGTTGTGGGTTCTTATTAATGTAATTAAATCAAAGAAGTAATTTTTTTTTCAACTTTTGGTCTGAATAAAGTAAATTTTTAAAAAGGGCAAAAATTCAATCCCCCCCCTTTTTTTTAACTAACTGGATTTAGATTACCAGGCAAAGAATTCCAGAAAAACTGTATAGCCAATAGGCTTACAGTAAGTCATAGTCTTGGAGGTAACAGTTACTCTAAGGGTCAAAAACTTACATACCAAGCAAGCCACAGACCAGAAGAAAATACTGCAACATATGTACTTGAAAAAGGATTGTATTCAAAACATATAAGCAACTCTTATAACTTAATGTTTAAAAAGAAAGCCAATTAAAGATTTGACAAAATATTTGAATACTTCATATATTGAAGACGCGCATGCTTCAACATGGATGAATCTTGAAAACATGCTAAATGAAAGAAACCAGTCATGAAAAGCCATATCTTGTATGACCCCATTTATATGAAATGTCCAGAATAGACAAATATATAGAGACAGAGAATAGCTTACTGGTTCCACAGCTGGGGAAAACAGGAAATGAATGCTAATGGATACAAAATTTCTTTTGGGATAATAAAATGATCTAAACTTGATTGTGGTGATGATTACACACCTATCAATATGCTGCAAACCACTGAATGGTATACTTTAAATGGGTGAATTGTAAAACTGTTATATATTGTTTTTAAAAAGAAGATATACAAATAGCCAATCAGCATGTAAAAAGATATTCATCATCATTAGTCATTAGGAAAATACAAATTAAAACTACAATGAGATATCACAACACACCCATTAGAATGGCTAAAATTTAAGACTGTCAATACTAAGTGTTGACAAGATATAAAGTAACTGTAACTCTCATTGCTGATGTAAAGGTGCAATGGTACAACCACTGGAAAACAATTTAGTAGTTTCTTATAAAGTTAAATATACATACACCATAAGATTCAGCATTTCCACTCCTAGATAGTCACTGAAGAGAAATGATAACATATGTGCACAAAAAAACTTTTACAAAAATGTTCATAACAGTTATACATAATAGTAAAAAACTAGGGAAAAATCCAGGAGAGTGGATAAATAAGCTGTGGTATGTCCATATAATGAAAAATTAGTCAGTAATAAAAAGAAATGAACTACTGTACACACATTATGAGTGAATCTCAGAAATGTGCTGACTAAAAGAAGCCAGACACAAAAGAGTGAATTTTAGAATAAGAAGAGCTAATACACAGTGACAGAAAGTAGAACAGTAGTTACCTGGAGTCAGGATGAAGATTAGGATAGAGGGAGGATGATTGCAGAATGCAAAGGGGCACAAAGGGAACTTTTGAGAGTTACAGATTATACACAGTAATTTCTAAAATTCACTTTTAAATATCTGTATTTACTCTACAGTGAACTAAAAGTAATCTTTCCCAACTTTTTTAAGATGTGAATTTATTACTATTATACAAACTGATTTTAAAACTATACGTATGTCAATTTTTAATACATATATACTCCAGTAAGATAAAATTCAGGCTAAGTATGTTCCATTAAGTATAACTGCATGTATTACAGCCAAAATAACTCAAAAGACATTTTTGCTTTCTTAAGTTGTATAAGTAAAAATGCTAAATGAGTAAACTTTTTGGTAATGAAGGAAGATTTCTATTGTTGAAGAACAGTTACTAGATGCTATTAAACACTCAAAGTTCAGCTGCCATGTTGAAAAAATAAGTGTTGGTTTGTGTCTAGGCTGATGTATACAGAAACTAGGCTAGCAGTCATTTATAAGAGGAAACAATGTCACTTTAATTGAAAATGGTTAGAAATTTAAAACTGAGACTATACATTTTAGGACAGGACAGGATTTTAGGATTAGGTAGTCAAATTTCCACATGTTTTCAAAGAAGAAAATGGGACTTAGTGAAGCTCAAAGTTATAAATTCTGGAAGAACCAGAGCTAATATCGAATGCTGGAATTTGGTGATATTTCCCCAATCACCCAGTGGAAAGCCAGTATCTAACATTTTCTCACGCTGAAAATGTTCACACAAGTGGTATTTACTATTATGCACTTACATTCTAATTGAAGCACTTCTGTAGGTAAAAATATCTCCTTTGTAGTATCACCAGTAGAGAGATCATCATGACATAAATACATATTCAGATGTTCCAGAGTTGCTGTCATTATCAGATTTAGTCCTGCTTGCTTCCACCACTCCGTGCCTACAGGGTTTACTACAAGGTTTTCTTCTTCAATAGAAAGTATCCTTTTCAAATCTGCAACTGAATATTGACTGTTGGGTTCTTCAATTCTTGGCACTTAAAAAAACAATAACAAGCCAACAAATAGAAACAATCCACAGGGCAAAAAAGATGAAAAACAGAACAAAAAGAACCATACTGAAAATTCCTTATGAAAGAGATTTTCACACATTAGGAAAAAAAGGGAAACTTGAAGTTATAACCAACATGTCATCTTCAAGATGCTAGTATTTGTAAAAGTTGAAAATATTATAGCAGTAGAAATAACATAGAGGATTTATTTCAATCTATGGAAATACCATGAAGTTAACATTATTCTATTCTTAGTAACTACTAAATTAATATATTTAATATCATTTTGAAGGATTAGTATAAGATTTATTAAATCAGAAATTCAAATTAATTATAATGAGCCTAACAAGAAGACATATTTGATTAAATTTTAGGATAACTATATCTTAGGTATTTCCACTTCATTACTTTTTAGCCTAAATAGGGACAAATCATAATGTATGGAAGAACTGAAGTAGCACAACTTATTATTATTATCTGCATTATAAGCACCAAGCCAAAATTAGAATTATACATTTTGAAATCCTAATTTTGGAACTATGCTTTTTATAACGACAGTAATAATAATAGAAAAAATAAAACTGACAATACATTCTACAGATCGTACCTTTTCATCTATAGTTTTATTTAACATTCATATCAATTAATCCTCACCTGTAAGGAAAAATGAGTTCAAAGAGCTTCTGCAGCTTTCTAACTGTGACACCGTACAGTTTCTGCTAGCTGATTCTTCAGCAGTAAGCAAACTACTGAAAAAGGTGAGTTAAAGTTTAATGCATTAATAATTTTGTCTTTTGCTTAATAAAGTTTTATTTTAAGAAAAGTATTTTTCTAAGTACTCTTTACACTCAAAAACAAGTGAAAAATAAACTCCATTTCATAAATGTGTAAATTGAAGTAGAGTTCCATAGATCAAATTTCAAATACTTATCTCCTCCTTCCCTGGAAAGGTTTGCCAGCTCATCAGCTCCTTAATTGCTCCTGCTTGTCATAACTTACTCCTCTCTCTGTCTCCCTCAATGGAACTTGGAGCCAGAGGAGGCTGACTTGGGAGGATTTTAGCACTTCCATAAACTGACAGCAGGAACCCTCTAAGTAACCCAAAATAAAAATATTGAAGTAAACATTAAGTAAAATTACATTGAAGTAAAATTACTGTGCTTATCATATAAAATAGTAGCTTTAATACGAACTTTTGTAAACTTGCTGTCCCCACGTCCATTCTAAACAGAAATTCTGGAGCCTCTACTGGCTTAGTACAGAACTATGAAAAAGTTCTGTCTGCTCTACCTTCGCAGGAAGTGACAAGTCCTAAAGTTAAACTCAGGTCCTTCAATCTTGGTGGGTGTGTGAGTGAGTCATATGTGTCTGTGTCTTTTTGGGTTTTGGGGGTAGAAGGGAGGAAATATGCATGATAATCAGTGTAAATCAGAGCTCATCACTAGCTATGAAGTTACTAGACTTGATAGGAAGGTACCATTAATTCAGAAACCTTTTAATCCATGCCCATAAAGCTCCCACTCCCTCCTAAGTGAGAATTGATTGTATTCTGTTTCTTTGTTCATATGGAACATATATGAGCATACTAAGTGTAAGTACTGCTAGTTATTTGACAGTCCTGGGCAGTAGAAAGCTAGGTTTTATGTTTAAGCCATCCAATTTACCCACATAACAAAAAAATCTGGCATATGTTGGCAAAATCTGAGATCCTAAACAATTATTGAATCTTACCAAGGTCTCTGACAACCAGATTGGAGGTAATTATTTTTAAAGTGAAAGGAAAGTGAAATATTCAGGCAAGCCACAGTGTTTTGTATTTTAATACTTTTCCTCTTCATTTTTAGTTTCACAGTTGAGGTATAAATCTATTTTTAAAATAGAGGTCTTAAAGTTTTTTTATTCATGAGCCAAATGGAAGTGATTTACCTCTTGCAAGTGAATGCAGCAGTGCTGAGACAACTTCTTTAAATTGTCTCAAGTGGCCCCAGAATCTTTGACTAATTCAAAGACCTTTTTTGTTCTAACTTCGGCAAATCATAATGTACAGATAAGACTTAAGTGTCATAAATTTTCATTAGATATTTGAGTTAAAACAATAAGTAAATACATAATTTCTGTGATTAAAAAGTGTATTATAGCTTAAGTACTTTTCATAGCATTGAAATTCAAGATTATACTAATTTCTGCTAGTTTCTATTTCTGATTGCCAGTCTGCCTTAACAAATGGATTAGGCCACATAGAGTAAATAAAAGAGTAAAAGAGCACTAAAAAAGACAGTATAGGTCCTGAAAATAACATCTTATACCTTAGTAAAGGGACCAAAAACTATTTAAATAAGCAGTTTCTGTACTTGTCTCAGGCTATTTTTTAGATCTCCTATTTGACAAGGGCAGTTCCAGCTTATGGAAGACCTGTGTCACAGATTTACCCTCCAGTCACATAGTTCTTTGCCAGAAGCTGAGATAATTGGGACCCTCATGCCAGGCTCCTCCATTTTATTCTGTGACACCTTCCTGAGAAGCCTGAACAGGTAGTGATAAGCAGTTCCAGTTGTCCCAGTAGCCCAACAGCGCTCTCCTGTGGTACATCAGCCAGTCATAGCCACAAACTCAAAACCTAGCACATAGCTCCCGCAGTATTAACCCTGGGAACAACTCATTAGAAATTTGTAGACTTCCCTGTATTTTGAAAATGTGTTACTTTAGGACAAATTAAATTCCAGATTACAGTGGAAAGAAGGGGGCTGTACTCGTTATGTTGCTCATTTTGTGTCTGGCATAAGAAGCAGAGGAATGGGGTGACTTTATTCCAGGATAGCAGGCTAACCTAATTTAGAAAACATTGTTTTATGTATTCCACATGGTATAAGAAAGCAACCAAAGCTATCTCAGACCTACAGGGAAAAAATGCTGGACTATTAAGTTATACAATTTTGGCTCAAACTAGAATACAATGATTCAGCCCTGCAATATCAATTCTGAGAAGATTATAGACCATTCTGTGCATTAACAATGGAGTGCTGAATTACTCCATTTGTGGATCAATGCATGGTTCTGCATGTCTGGTTCTCCCAACACAGATACCACACTGAAGGGATAAACAAGGTCAGAGGCTGTCCTTGGTTAGAGATGGGATATGATCCCTCATATTCCTAGGGGAGTACGTTGATAGACAAATCTATTAATCAACAACTGTCCATACTGCCCTGTGACCCTTGGGTATTCCTGGTCAGAGAGTTATGACAAATCTTTTAGTAGACCTCATAAGAGCCTGCAAGGCATATACTATTCTTATCCCAATATTACAGATAAGGAAACTGAGGCACAGGGCAATTAAGGTCACAGAGCTAGTAAGTGATAGATTCAGGCAATATGGCTCTAGTTCAGGGCTCTTAAGTACTTATTATGGGCTGAATCATGGCCCAATATTCATATACTGAAGCCCTAACTTTCAGTACCTCAGAATGTGACTATATTTGGAGATAGGGCCTTTAAAGAGGTAATTAAGTTAAAATGGGGTGGTTAGAGTGGGCTCTAACCCAATATGGATGGTGTCCTTATAACAAGAGGAAATTAGGACAGATAGGTGTGGAGAAAAACTCACATGAAGACAAAGGGAGAAGATAGCTATCTACAAGTCAAGGAGGGAGGTCTCAGAATGACTTCAACGCTCCCTCCCAATGTCTTTATCATGGACTTTTAGCCTCTAGACTGTGAAGAGGTAGACTTAGATTTATTTACCATAGACAAGGTGTTTAAGCCACCCAGTCCATATTTGTTATGGCAACTAATACACCACTACGCTCTCTTTCATGGCAGTGAGTGCCAACAGAGGCAGTACCATTGGTAAGCTCCAGAGGCAATATCCTAAGTAGATTGTTCCAATGCCAGAATCTTTAAAATTTTTCAAGTTATTTATTTTTAATAGTAATATATCCACATTCAAAATACTAAAAGTATAAGAGTCTGGCTCTATCACTTTCTAGTTCCCATATTGGCAGGCTACCCAGTTCCCTTCTGGACACAACAAAGGTTACCTGATTCTTGTATGTCCTTCTAAAGACATTCTATTCACAAAAAACCAAATATGTACATACATAGTCATATATTCCCTCTAGTTGCTTACTATAGACACTGTTCTACGTCTTACACGTTTTCACAGAAATATCTTGGAAAATTTCTTTATAAGGAGAGATTTAATTAAAGATTTTTTGTTCTGAAATGCAATTTGGTTCTAGATATAATCCTACTTACATTTTACCAACAGAAGAAAATGGAAATGTCTCAAGTTCTGTACATAGCGAATTCACAGGAGAATATTGGCTTGCTAGATGTAGATGAGTTAATGGCATTTCTAACTCTACTAGAATACATAAAAATTTAGAAATCATAATATTACATAAACATTGAATGAAATTAAGTATAGTCTAGAACTTTTTGTAAGCTACTATGTTTGATTATTCTGTCACAACAGAAATTTTCAGTAAAAAAATTTGGGTTTCTTGAACTACAAAAATAATCATTTAAAATTTCTACCTATATAAGATATCACATGATATCTCAACTGTGATAGTGATGGTTTTTAAAAAATACACTGACAACTAAACTTTACTGAGTTTACTGTGTGGATAAATTCGAAGAGCTTTTTGTGTAATAATGCTTTAAATCGTAACAACTTATGTTGTCAGTACTTAGGAGATAGTACTATTTTTATCTCTATACTAAATATTGATGATGTTAGGTAAATAACATTAATGGAGAATAATTCTTTACCTTAATAAATCTGGAGCCTAGGTGACCTAGTACAGACTTAAATATTTATGGGGTGGAATTTACAAACTGATCCTCACTTATTCATAGGTAGTCAGTGTGTTTCTATCACTCTTATAAATAAAGCAGTAAACTTCCAAATAAATGATTAATGTGATACAATTATAAATGTAACTAAATAACAGTATCATCAACGTAGTTAAAAAGCAACATAATTTGGTATTACACCAGAACAAAAGATGATTCTGAGATTCCAAATTTGGTAAGATAGTAGTAATAATGATAGGGTTGCTATGGGGGATTAAAAAGTTAAATTTACAAAAGTGTAATAAGGGTCAGCAAGATTGCTAATACTGAGATAAAATACAAAATTTTATTTAATGAGCTATAGTATTATAAATTTTTATTTTTCATATTAATGCTATTTTCTCCATCTCTGTAACTCTTTGCATATTATTTAGTTTTGAAGCTAGAAAGATAATGAGTTAATGACAGTAACAAATATAAAGGGACAGATAAGGGAAAAAATGACTACTTGGATTACGATGATCAAATTATAAACATGAAAACTGTCTCATAGTAGACCTTACATGTGAATGCACTGTACTTTTACATATAGAGGTATCCTCTGATAAACTCAGTGATTCCTTTAAAATTTCTACCTGGTTTACTGCATTCTGGTTTACCGCACTCTGATTCATACTGGCTTTGATTGATCAAAATCTCTGTGGAGCTGCATTTTATATCCTCAATGTTAATTCTATGCTTGGTAGTAAGATCTGAAAGAAAAGGAAGAAAGTCCACTATCGGCAAAAGTATTATTATATTAGTTGTTTTGTAATCTTGTTCATTCATCAGTGGCAATAACTTAGAGCCAAGTGAAGGCTGGAAATGTAACACCACAGTGACTCAGTAAAAGTCACTTGTCCTCTCCATTACCATTCCTAGATTTGTGTTCTGCTTAAAAAGCCCTTGGGTTACCCTGCAATTCTGAGCTCTGCTGCATTTCCAATGATCCACTTACTCAGGGTGGCTTTTCATTCCCTTGCTTTGACTTGTAGACTGATCAGTAATTCACTTGATTTAGTCTTGTCTGCAAGAATTCCTTCAAGTCTGTGGTCTATTGGCAAGCATCTCTGTTCTCAATGATTATCTCAAATCCTCCTTAACTCATCCCTAATAGTATTTATCTTTGATAATTTCAACTGGAATGTATGAGAGGATAGTTAAATATTTGAGTTCAAATTGTCAATAGAAAGAATTAAACAATTTTACTAAGTCTAATGGGATGAAACCATCTAAATCCTACATTATTCTAGGTTATGACTGGGTCTATTCCTCGTCATCTGATTTCATGAATTACTCTGAGTTTCTACATACCTAACTAAAGTCTGCACAGAATTTGTTAGTGTTTTGTCATTGTATATAAAGAAACAACTAAAAAAAAAATAGTATAGTCATTGGTGTTGTAGCTTTATTTGTATAATTATCTTGAAATTGTTAGATTAATTTCATAGATGTTCTAAGTTTGCAAATGTAAAGAGAAAGACAATGAGAAGAGTCTAATCAATCATTCTGAGATTTCACTGTAACCTGGAGAATACTTTTTTAAAAGCTGGAGGTAAAGAAAAAGGTTTCATGAATAAGAATTTTTACAATAACATTATTGAGTAGTTTTTATAAGTAGTAGATTAAAAAATTAATTTTTACCTTTTTTGAAAAGCTTTTCATTTTCATCTATAAAATTTATTATTTCTGGCATTAAGTTTAATGACTCCTTTAGTTCTGAGAGTGATGGCATATCAACTTCTTGTTTGTGGCTTGTAGATATTAAGAATTCACACTCAAGCAAAATTGACGGCTGAAATAATATATAAGTAAAACTTTTATGTGAGGTTTTCTAAATAAGTATTTCTGAATTCATAAACAGATATATTTGCTTAATTGGTATACCAAATTTTAAACTAAACCCAAACTTGAAATTTTTAATGTTATGCATACATTTGAAAAAACGATGTGTAGTAGCCAAAAATTTATTACATTATAAGCAATGTTCTGAGTAATGTCCTTTATGGCCACTGACTACATCACTGATATTTAATAGCCCTAGATATTGGGTATTAACATCTTCTTTTTTAATATCTTCTTTTGGCCTAATAACAAATTGTAAAACTTCCAAATTAAAAAAAAATCCCTGCAGCAGATGATAGATGGTGAAAAGGAGAAGTAAAAAGAGTAGATGCATCTTCACTGCACTCCATAGAATGTTTTTCTTTCATTCCTATGGATCCAAATTCCTCTCAACAAGTGAGACTATGTGAACAACTCTGAGTTAACAGAGAGGGAGAGTGTACTAGAGAAAAGGGGCTAATAGGTGAATTAACATTTTTACCACATGGATTAATAATTATAATTGTGAGGAAACCCTTTAAATGCCTAAAGATAGATAGATATCCTAAATATGTATGTATCTTATTTCCAGCTGTCTTAAAAAAATATTTAAATAAATTTTGTAAATATATCTAATCTACATGGGCCAAGGTTTTTTTTCTTATTAATCTAAAAAATTATTTTCACTCTCAACTGCTAGAATTCTTTATATACTAATATCATATTAAATTCTGTGTGCTATTGGAACTGCATGCTATAAAAGAGGGGCTGCCTTTGGAAAGTTTGACCTTTAATATGCAAAGATGCATTCTTCCTTATTAAACCACTAGCAGCATGTAAAATGCAGTCTAAGACCATCTTTATGCTTAGTCCTCCAGTGAGATCACTTCTCTTATAGTTCAAGTATTATCTGTTTTGTATATAACTCACAAATCAACATTTCTAGCTCCAGTCTCCAATTTTTAAGTTAAAACATGATCACTTAAGGTTCTATACCAGGTATGATGATTAAAATCATTGGGAGAAGTTTTAAAATTCACCATACCTGAGTAGCACATCAGACAATTAAATCAGAATATATCTGGGTAGAAGCCAGGCTTCAGTATTTTATTAAAATTCCCCCAAGTTAATACCAATGTGTAGCCAAGGTTTAGAACAACTATCTTAGAAGTAAACTTGACTCCTTAGTTAATACATGTTCAACCCACTATCAAGTCTTTTTAACTTGACAACAGTACATGGTCAGTGTGTATCTAAAATTTATAGAAGTGTGCATTTACTTTCATAAAAATATTACTGAAAGCAAGTATTACAGCTTCATTTAAACCTACTGTATCTTCTAACTTCTCCTGACAAAAGTTCTCTTTATCCACATATCCATCTTCGTTCACAAGAACTTTAAAATCTCTTGGAAAAGAGAAACATTCCCTTGACAAAAATAAAACATTAAATTAGCGTTTACTTAAAGCAAAGTACATACTAAATGTAGCCAATCAAAATACATAATGATTTAAATTAGAGTTGAGGTAAAACAATGGTAATAATATATTATCGATGATAACATCTAGACTTTTGAGCATACAAAGAATATTTTCTCATCTTAAAATTATTTACAGTACTGGGCAGTTAAGTACCTGAGATAATTAGCTTCTGTGAAGATTTGTTTGTTGAAATCCAAAAGGGGGTCCTTTACTAAAAATAGTTTTAGCCTACTCAACAGAGTATGCAAAGTTGGTAGCTGACTTTTATAGTCTACCAAGTTATTTTCAAAAATTAATTCTTCATCATCAATAGACAAATCTGAAAAGAAATAAAACATAAAACAGAATAAGAAAAGATCTAAGAGTTATACAACAGGATCTAGATAGCTACTACAGCCAGTCTTAAATATAGCCAGAATTTTCAAACACATTTTTAATTCTTTAGTTCTTGATTGTGCTGGGTATATAAAGCATGCAGAATAGTACTGATATATGGGTAAAAGTTCAAGAAATTGTAACATTATTTATTACATTGAGTAGTAACCAAATATCCTAAAAGAGTTTTAATGGCCCACATTTTTTCAACAACCATTAGTTTAATCAGTGGAGGGAAATATCCTATAGCTTTATGCTTCAAAATAGCCAGGTGTAGCTTAAACAAAACTGTAAAGAAATAAAAGTATTTGACTTTTGCTGACCCTTGTCTTTCCTTTGCATCTTTGTATCCCTGAGGGTCTCCAATTCATCTCCAGAGACTCTGAGGTGTAGAGAATGGAGATAGTCTACAAAGCCCACAAATGGGATCGACCCTAATTCTACCACTCTAAGGTTATTCAAATATGGTTGTTAAAAAAATGAATTACAGTAAATGTTATATCACAAAATATCTAATTGAGAAGTGTAATATATCTTACTTATTAGGAAACACTACTGCTAACAGTTAATTGCTGGAATAAACTTCTTTCTCTCCTCACCCTACCATGTTTGGGTTACTTTAGAATCTTGGCTAACTGTATCATTGCTTTAACAGTTTCTGAGCCAAGGGAGTGAACACAGAACTTGCTCCCATTCTTCAATGAGCCCTTGAGTGGAAAAAGAAAAAGTGAAATATAAGTTCAGACAAGGAACTGGTCAGAAAGCCAAGCTTCCAAGAGCAAAACCACCGTGAAGGGGGAGCAGTGGTCTCTTGTTCTGGGCAGATAGGTAGTTTTAGAATGGCATGAGCAAGAGACTGCATGGACCGATGTCTCCCATGACCGACTACATCTTTGGCACGTAGTGCTCAATAACCATGTGGTGTAAAGCAGGCAGCCAGGAAACATCCCTTTGCTTGGTGCTATCCTGAAAACAGAACTTGATATGTAAACTAGCTGCCTAAAAGATTATCTCAACCTCTTAAGTTCCTGATAATTTTGTGGCCAAGAGCTTCCTATAACTAATTTTGTGTATTTCTTTTACTTAACAAAGAAAGCCAACCAATCAATTCCATGTCTAAGCAGGACTTACATGGGACAAAGGTTATTCATTCCTACATCTGTTCTCTAAGTATTAATGAAATCATATTAATAGTAAAAACCCAAATAGCACTTGTTTATATCCCCATCTCTACCTTCCACTTCCAAATACAGATCCTCTAGCCATCTTCCCTTCCTATAGGCTCATCCTCACATTTCTGGGAGTTCCCGGGGACATCTCATATCAAGTTATGAGGTCTTGTTTTCTAAAGACCCTTTTCTGATGGAGCCACTTGAGGGCAGCATGATACCACACCAATGTTCTTTATAACTACAAAGGTTTTACCAAGGGTGCTGCTTACATTTTTCTGGCTAGACAGCATTCCCTGGAGTTCTTACTTTATTACATTACAGCTATTATATGTACCAACACAGAGATGAGGAGACTGTTTTCCTCTAATATAGAGGAGTGTTAAATTCACGAGGAAACAAAATTCTGGCTACTCACGAGGAAACAAAAATCTGGCTACTTAGAAGTATGAGAAGCAGCAGAAAACAGGTCTAGGGATAGAAAAGAGGACAAATTTATTCTATGTGGAAGATACTTTTGTCTACCTAAAAGAAAACCAAGATAATTAAGTGAAAACAAAGGAGTTCGCTAAAGGTATCTGATAAAAAATAATGAAATCAGTGATTTTCAAATATATATAAAAACCTAGTCAAAAAGTAATGGAAAAACTCATTCATAATGGCCACAGGTATGCAAATATTGAGAAATAACACAATTATAAAGAAAGAATATGGAAGAAACCATAAAACTTTAATGAGGACCATTAAAAAAAACTCGCAGAAAAAGTAAGATAAATCATTTTTCTGATTAGCAAGACTAACTACGGCAAAAAAAATTTTTAAAGTCCCAATAACATTTCAGTTTCTCGAGAGGTCTGTTTTGGAGCCTGGAAAAACTGATTACAAAGTAAATCTGGAAGAATAAAGATATGAAAATAGGAAAAACAAAACAAAAAAGAGAAGACTACTAATACATGTTATAATTATATATTAGTTAAAACTGTATGATACTGACACAATAATGGGCAAATCAATAGAAAATTCAGAAACAAACTCTTATATGGAAAAGGATTCAGCATATGATGTAACTGTCATTTTTAATCAGTGGGGAAAGGGAAGACTATTCCATGAATGACATTGGGACAAACTACCAAAACATGCAGAAAAAGTATTTTTTATTCTTACTTTTAAACAATACCAAAATCTTAAAGAAAATGAATAAATATTTATCTAATTCAAGGAAGAATTTTCTAAATATAAATGCAATGAAGGAAACCATAAGGGAAAACATTGACAGGAAGGACTAGTTAATTTCAAAATAAATATATTTGGGGTCATTGATATATATGACATATTAAGATTAAAATATAAGAATTGATAAAAAGACAAAAGTGAGAATTAACAAAATAAAAATAAGCAAATGGCCAAGAAACATGAATAATTTTTTAAATGCAAATAAAAATATAATTTTTTGCCCATCACATTGGTTAAAATGTATTACCACAATATCAGTAGTAATATACTCAGTGATGACAAGGTTGTTGTGAACAGGGTATTCTCATACCATGCTAGTGGACATGTAGCTAAAAAAAATACTTAGATCAAATATAATTCCATTTCCATGAATTCATTCAAAGGAAATAACTGGAAAGGGGAACACACATTTATGTACATATTTGAAACTAAAAACATTAGTGTTCTCAAATTAGGAAATGGATGATACATATGTAAGATTTAAAACTGCAGCCATTAAAAGCCATGGTTTTGAAGAAATCTTAAATATATGGTGAAATGTTCCCAAGATAATGTTAACATTTAAAAATAAAATAATGCATGCACAGTAGGATCACAATAGTAAAATGATTTATGTTTAGATATTATAGTATTAGAAATTTTTAGTAAAGGAACATTCTACACACTTCAGATGTCGATATCTTAATAGATGTAGAAAAACATTTTAAAAATTCAGTCTTCATTCATGATCAGAAGCTCTTAGCAAACTGACAACAGAAGGAACTTCCTCAACCCAAAAAAAGCAAATACTTCTAACATTTCACCATTGAAACTGAAGTAAACATTGAAAATGACGTAAACATTGAAATGATATTTACGTCACCGTTAATGGTGAAATGTTGAAGTATTTATTGTCAAGAGCAAGGCAAGAATGACAATTATCACTGCTTCTGTTGAACAATATACTGGAAATCCTAGTAACCACAGTGAGACTAAAGAAAAAAAAGGTAAATGTTGTGAAAGAAGAAGTAGATGGCCAATGAAAAGCATTATCTCAAAGAGATATCTGTACTTCCATTGTAGCACTATTCACAATAGCCAAGGAATAGGAACCACCTAAATGTTGACAACGAATGGATAATAAAATGTGATCATGTGCATACAGACACACAAACTTCACAGGAGAGTATTACTCAACCTTAAAAAAAAGGAAACCCTGCCTTTTGCTACATAGATGAACATGGAAGGTATTTTGCTAAGTGAAATAAGCCATACAGAGAACAGTAATTATTGCAAGGAATCACTACATGTGGAATCTAAAAAAAAAAAACAACAGAACTGATGGAATTGGAGAGTAAAATGGTGGTTTTCAGAGGTGGGTGGGGGAAAAAAAGACAGGTTGGTAAAAAGGTACAAACTTCCAGTTACAAGATGAATAAGGTCTGAGGATCTGATTATAACATGGTGATTATAGTTAATAATACTGTAGGGTATAGCGGAAATTTGCTAAGAGAGTAGAACTTAAATGCTTTCTAAAAAAAAAAGAAAAAGAGAAGGGTGAATATGTGAAGTGAGGAATGTGTTAATTCAGTGATGGGAATCTTCTTTCACATTATGTGTATCAAATCATCACACTGTACACTTAAAATAGATTACAATTTTATCTATAAATTATATGTCAATAAAGCTGATAAAAACATGTGGGTGGTTGATGAAGCCAGTGGACTGCTGCTTTTTATTATAAACCTTGAATAACTATTTGACTTTTTAAACTATGAGCATATATAACTTTACTTTTTAAACTAAAAATAAATCTGCATTTGCATTTGCTTATACATTCTGACAGGATATTCATAAATATGGTTATATTTATTGACAAATAATATGTGAATGTGGTAGAAAAATGAAGAAAGATATATCAATATACCAAGAAAGAAAATCAGACACTGTTTTTATGTCTTAAAGAAATAATGTTAATAACATAATTTAATAATTAACTATATTTCTTATAAGACAGCAAACTTACACATCAATTGAATTTCAAAGTATAATACATTCCTTTTGATTTAGACAGTGATGCCAAAATATCTATATATCTGGCAGTGATCAAAGTAGCTGCACAGAAAATTAATGAAATTGCATATCTATATTTATAAAATGACTTCTAATGACATAGGCCCCCTAAGGAAATATAGAATATAGACAATTCATATACATTTGGGAAACTTAAGTATATCTTTATCAGTGAATAATAGTTAAAGAAGCTTCTGATTCTGGCTGACGAGAGACAGTATGAAATTTGCCAAAAGTAGCTTCTAGTTTGCCACATTAATAATAACTATGTTTGGATAGCCTTTTATTTTTCACAAACCACATCTTTTCATGTACGTATATGTTATTTGATATCCACAAACATTTTTATAAGAAATTAGGAGAATATGTTAAAAGAAGTTATAGAAAATAGAAAATGATAAAAAATTTTAATGTACCAAAATTGTGTCACTCTTTAATAGTAGATTTGTTCTATGATCAAATCTTCTGAGCCCAAATTCAGACTCTTCTTATTATATCATACTCTCAAGTTTAGTTGTTAATGCAATCTCTCTTTTCAAACTATAAGAAGGGTTTTTAACTCTATATATCATCACATGCCTATTTGCCAACACTAAAAATTTTATGCACAATTTATGGATTTACATAAAAGCAGTAGAAGAACCAAATTATTTTTCATGCTCAAGCTACTGCATATCTTAAATTCTAGTAGCATTACATAATAATTATATAATAGGAATAAATATAAAATATTCCCTTTTTAACTTAAAAAGGGAATAGCTTGTTGTACATACAAGAAAGGTAGTTCTAAGCAAGTTTTTATCTGGTTGGAGGAACTCAGCACAGCTCCCTCTAGTAAGAAGAAAGATTTGGAATATACTTAAGATAAAATATTCTTTTAATTATTATTTATGTTAAATTTATATAATGTCAAAACTGGGTGAATTTCCTGATCTAATACTGCAACTATTCCAACTCTGCTTTGAATTATGGTTTTAACATAAATTACATGTGACTGAAAATCTTTAGCATATTTTGAAAGTAAAATAGAGTCATTACTTAATAATCAACTAATTTAATGTTATACCAAATTTCTGTGTCATCAGATCTGTACACTGATGCTAGTATCATTATAGCAATATGTTGTGCTATAATTGGTCACATTGTGATCAAGTCTGAGGCTATTTTGAGGTCCACCACACTTGAACCCCCAAAACAACCAATTTTACAAAAAAGAGATTAACAAGAAAGAAATATTTTCATAATGTGGCAGAGTTTAGAATTATAATATTATAGGTGGATATCTTCAATAAAATATAATTTTTTAAATCCAGTAATATAAAAGCTCACTGAAATGAAAATCTGTATGTTAGCAAGAAATGTTTTTAACAATGGAAATAGCAAATGTTTTACCTTGGTTCTGTGCTTGAAGTGCTGGATATTTTTCTGAACAGCTGACAAGTGTAAAGACTTCATTGTAGTCCTTATGGGTGTATAAGCTGGCTTCCTCTACTTCAGTTTGGGAGTTTGGATTTGAACTTGGAACAACTTCAAATTCACAGTTAATATGGATCGCCTTTCCTGTAATTGTTTTTCTATGACATTACAAAATTACCAATTTTATGTATGTCCTATTTTAAAATATCTTTATTAGCAAATAGTATATGTTATTGTAGAAAAATTACCAAATTACCAACAGATACAGAGAAAATTTGCCCTTAGACCCACCATTCAAGATGTTTTAAAATTATGTTCTCAATTATTTTTAATATTTTTGAACAAAAGTGGATTATTAATGTACATAGATAGTATTCTGTAATACTAAACAACATTCTTTTTTGCTAAACAAAGAAGCATGAACACATTTATATGTCAATCAATGTACATTCCACTGCATTTGTGAATAGATAAACAGGATCCCATTGTATTGGTAAATGATAACTTATTCAACCAGTTCCCTGTTGTTGAGATTTAAATATGTTGTAATTATTTGCTACTATAATGCAAGGAATATCTTTGTACATTTGTCTAATTGTTTTTTCTCAAAATACATTTCCTAAAAACAGATATGATGAGGTTAAAGGTATACAGATTTTTAGACTGCCACACACTGCCAGAATTGCCCTGTGCTGGATATTCAATGACTGCTCTTTCATATCATTATCTGACCTTTCATACTCCGTTTTTCAACTTGGGAGGCTGATCTCTATGAACCAACTAAGTTCCCTTTCCCCTCTGCCTTCTAGTTAAGAAGTAGTGGAAGAAGATCAAAGACGGGAAGAGACAGGTTGGGGCATTTTTTTCCTCAGGTCCTGCCCACCTGGGCCAGAGTTTGGAAGCAGCTGAATTCTTCTACCAGTAGTTTCATCTGCTGTCAGGCAGCCCCTCTCCTATAGCTGTAGTTCTCATTGGGTTGGTTACTGCTCAGTCCCCTTGCCCTTCAGGCTTAGGGTGGTAACAACTTCCTGCTCTTGCTAGTCCTGGGCACTTTTTTTTGGCTTCCTTGACCTTGCTCTTATCTGGCCTCTTCCTGACTGATCCAGGTATACCTGCCATTGTATATACCATTGGATATTTACATTCACAAGAGATCTTTATAATGAATTTTTCAAGAGATAAATATATTATTGGCATTTAACTACACATCCTAATTACTTTTTCTATATCCTAAAATATTTTAGCTTTAGTAATTCCCTATACAGACTGAAAGAACCAAAATCAATATAATTCCCCAAAGTAACTGAAGAAAAAATGATTATGTCATATCTTAAAATCATAGAAAAATCTCAAAAATTTTTACTTTACCCTTTAAGAAAATACAAGGTACAGGAAAAAATATTTCAAATCACCCAGGTCCATATTATTCACAAGAACCTTGATTCCTATGTAGATCTTTGAAGACTTCTAAATTTCTGCTTATATAGATGCTTTTTCTTTTTTTAATAAATGCTTTTAATAAATGTGTAAATAAAACAGAGTCATCACTTTGTGATAATCCTTGTTTTGGGAATAATCTTGTAGTTTTAAGAAAACCCGATCGATTCTCCTTAGATATAAATGATCTATGAAGACTAGTGTTTCCTTGATCTCTTCCCATCTCCTTGTCCAATATTATCTTTTCTTTGTTCACTGATATCTCCTCTGCCTAACCTGAAGATACTGATGTTCCGCAGGTTTCCAATCTAGATTGTCTTTGCTTTCTTTCCATATCATTATTTTTTGGGTAAGTTCATCCATTCCTATTCACTAATTTTTTAACTTAAATATTTTTAACTTAAATATTTATTGAGTATCTATAATGTGCTAACACTATTTTAGACACTGGGAATTGAGTGGTAAACAAAACAAGGTTTTGTCCCATGAAGCTTACCTGCTAATGGGACTATAGACAAATAAATTTTTTTTTAAATGTCAGGTGGTTAAAAAAATGTTATGAATGAAATATAATATTAGGCTATCAAGTAACAGTGAGAGAGTTGGTAAGAAGTATATTTTAGAGACAGTAGTAGTTAGCAAACAGCCCTCTGAGGAGCTGATAATTCCGCAGTTACCTGAAAAACGGAAGGGAGTAAGCCATTCAAGGCCTAAAGGGGAGGAACAAGGTTGGTATATTCTAAGAACAGCAGACTGTTCAGGGTGACTGGAACAGAGTAAGTTTAAATGGATAGGCAGGGATGAGACCATGCTGGACTTCGTAACACTTAGTAAGAACTTTGGATTTTATTCCAGGTTAAATGGGATACCATTGGTGAGTCATAACAGCTCATGACTGGATTTGTTTAAAAAAAAAAAAATCCCAGGTAAACTCTTAGAAGAAAATACAGAAGTAAACCCTTTAGATATTTAGATTAGGTAAAGCCTTCTTAGATATGACAAGTGACATAAAAAGCATGAGTGACAAAAAAAACTAGATAAATTGGGCTTCATTAAAATTTTTAAAATTTGTGCTTCAAAGGATACCATCAAGAAAGTATTGGCAACGATGTAAATGAATTTTAACCTTCACATGCTGCTGGTGGGAATGTAAAATGTACAGCTGCTGGAGAGCAGTCTGGCAATTCCTCAAACAGTTAAACACAGAGTTCCCATAAGACTCAGCAATTCCTCTACTAGAAAAATGAAATCATATGTATGCACAAAAGTTTGTCGCAAATGTTCATAGCAGCATTACTCATAATAGCCAAAAAGTGGAAACAAACCAAATGTTCTTCAACTGATGAATGCATAAATAAAAGTGGTATGTCTATAAAACATGGAACATAATTTGGCCATAAAAAATGAAGTGCTGACACATGAGAGCATACAGACGAACCTAGAAAAACATTATGCTAACTGGAAGAAGCTAGTCACAAAAGATCACATATTGTATGTATGATATTGTGATTTATAATAAATATATATTTGTTCTTCATCCCTGTTTCTGGCACAGATCTCCTAAACCCCTCAGAATTTCCTAAGTGTTGAGAGCAATAAAGGTGTCTTTGGTTATGCTAATGAGGTGACTTTTGTAAAGCACCAAGGATGGGGAAGAAGAACCAATCATGTGACTAGATAGACGGAACTCTCAGTCCCACCTTACTGACCTCCAGGAAGGGAAAAGGGATTGGAGGCTGAGTCAGTTGACATTGACCAATGATTTAATCAATCATGCCTGAGTAATGAAACCTTCCTAAGACACAAAAGGATGGGGTTCAGAGAGTTTCTGGCTTGGTGAACACACAGTGGTGCTGGGAGTGTGGCACAATGGAAGAGGGCTTGGAAGTTCTATGCCCTTTCCCCATGCCTTGCCCTATGCATCTCTTCCATCTGGCTGATCCTGAGTTATATCCTTTAATAATAAACAGGTAATTTAGTAAGTAAAATATTTCTGTGAATTCTGTGAGTCTCTCTAGCAAACTGATTGCACCCAAGGAGGGGTTCTTTGGAATCTGTAGCCAGGTAGTCAGTCAGAAGCACAGGTGATAATCTTGACTTACAAGCAGGGGTGGGGCAGTTCTGTAGCACTGAGCCCTTAACATGTGGGATCTGATGCCATTACCTGGTAGACAGTGTCAGAATTGAGTTGAATTGTAGGATACCCAGCTAGAATCAGGGCATTGCTTGTTGGTGTGGGGAACACCCTTCCCACTCCACGCTGGAATTGATGCATGACTTTGGTATGACTCTGTTTATATAAAATGTCCAGAACAGGCAAATCCAGAGAGGCAGAAAGTAGACTGGTGGTTGCCTGTCTGGGGAAGGAGGGAAAGAATGGGGAATGACTGCTTATAGGTATAGGATTTCTCTTTGTGTTGATTAAAATGCTCTAAAATTGATTGTGGTGATAGTTATACAACTCTGGATATACTAAAAGCCACTGACTTGGACATTTTAAGTGGGTGAATTATATAGATATGAATTATATCTGAATAAAGCCGTTTTATAAATGAAGCAAACAAAAGATTATAAAGCTTGAACTCAGACAGACTGGGATTTGAGTATTGATTTCTAGCTCCAACTATGGACTTGCAGCAAGAATATGGGCAAGTTACTTAATGTGAGTCTTAGTTTATTGTATACCATATTGAGATAGTAATATCCACTCAGCAAGTTGTTATTAGTTATGCAGTTAATAAAAATGTGTTCAATGTCCTGCATTCATTTGAATGCAGCAAGCCCCAGAGAAACAGATAATACTGTTATATGTTCTTCCTCTTACTCTTTTGGCCATGTGCTGTGTCCTGGAAGCCAGGAAGTTTATTACATGGTTCTCTCTGATCTTTTTGTATTTTTCCCTTGTCTCCAAAATTTAATAGCCTCAACCCCTCCATTGGCCTGTCCATCAAGCTATCTTCCTTTTTTTCAAAGTGCTATATTTATTCTAATATGTATTTATGTTTTAGGAATTTAACATGTCTTTTAAATATGCTGATGATTTTTTAAATTAGAATTCTATTAATTTTATTAGTACTCTTTCAAGCTACACAGCTTTGATTACAGAAGCATATTTTCCTGTATACCCTGTTATTTTTGGTGTACATTTTTAAAGAACATAAGTTTTTTAGGAACACATGGTAGAAAATTGCCATATATGTTAAAACTCATTTGCCAACAGATTAGTAAAAGATTTGAGGCCTTAGAATTAATATTAAGAAGTAAAAACATAGGAACAAGAAACAAAGAGAGGTTAGAAAGGGAGGGAAAGCAAGATTTAGGAAATCTAGGTGCTAATGATCAGAATATTTATTCCATTAGGTATAGTTCATTAGTTCTATTAGGTAACAAACAGCAGTAGCTTTGGAATTAATTAAGATTAAATGTTAACATGGGAAATCTCTGTTCCTTCTGCTCAATTTTGCTATGGACCAAAAACTGTTCTAAAAAACTAAGTCCTTTAAAAAATTAAATTTTACTGCATGAAATAAAAAGCAATTAATGTGGCTTAAACACACACAAAAAGTTTGTCAGAATTTCATGGCTAGTAAGGCAGTTCCACCATTTTGTCAGGGACTGAGGCTCCTTCTGACTGCCAGATTTAGTACTTGTCAGTGAAGTCTAAAGTAGCTGCTGCAGCCAGTCACTACAGCTGTATTCCAGCATCAGAAAGGAGAAAAGTAAGAGTAAAACATGCTGCTTCCTTTTAAGGACATTCTCCAGAAACTGCTTACATCTCTTTTGCTTATATCCTTCCACTGGGAAGAATTTAGTCATCTGGCTATGTCTGGCTACAGGGGGGCTGAGAAATGTAAATTTTATTCTAGGTGGTGACACTAATACCACCTTCCTTGCCATGGACTCTATCTTGGTACTGCAGAATGAATGGAAGGTCAGAGATGATCGGTGTCCATTCCTCAGAGCCTTTCATTTCTGTTATACATGAACCTTTTGTTTGAGCCAAAGTAGCCTAATCATTGCCTTTATTAGGCACTTATTGAATATTTCTGCCTCTATGCCTTCAGACACGCTGTTTCTCTTGCCTGAAATGCTTTTTCTCAAGTTAGTTTCTCCTTCAATGTCCAGCTCATGCTTAGTTTACTTTGTGAAGCTGATCTCTCCTGCATATAAATGCACAGCCCCACCAATCTAACTCATCAAGTGAAAACAGATCATAGAGATCATCTTGTATCTTGTTATTCCAAGTAGGTTCTTAGACCAGTAGCATCATCATACCTAGGATCATATGAAAATACAAAATCTCAGGCCCCCACATAGACAGACAATTAGACTCTCCATTTTTAATAAGATCCTCAGGTAGTTCATATGCACATAAAAGTTTGGGAAAGCACAGATCCAGCATTATTATACTGATAAAGAAAGTGAGAGTCAGAGAGATAAAATGGTTTGTCAAGAGTTAGCACTTGATATTTTAAATCAAGACTTGAAATCCATATCTTTTCATTCAGAGTGAAGAGCTCTTTTCACTGCACCTTTCTGCTTCCTCACTGTGCAGCTTAGTCATGTGATAGACACTTTGCACTGGCTTTATGTTTTGTGACAGACTTTATCATCTTATATTTTCATTTAGGCCTTACATTGTTAATTTTTTATATGTTTAGATTCTATCTTTCTAACCTGACTTTTAAATTCCCACATGACAAAATGGGAAATGCAAATCAAAACTACAATGAGAAAGCACCTCACATCTGCCAGAATGGCAGTATGAAAAGGACAAGAAATAACAAGTATTGGTGAGGCTGTAGAGAAAGGGGAACCTTCCAGCAATGTTGATGGGAATGTAAAATGGTGCAGTCATTATGGAAAACAGTATGGAGCACCCTCAAAAAATAAAAAACAGAAACACTAAATGACCCAGTAATTCCATTTCTGGGAATTTATCCAAAGAAAACAAAATCACTAACTTGAAAAGATAGATGCACCCTTCTGTTTATTGCCACATTATTTACCACAGTCATGATATGGAAGCAACTTCAGTGTCTATCAATAGACAACTAGATAAAGAAGATGTAGTACACACACACACACACACACACACACACACACACACACACACACACACACACACACACACACACACAGAGGAATATAACCCGGCCATAAAAATGAATGAAATCTTACCCTTTGGAAAACCATGGATAGGCCTAGTGGGTATTATGCTAAGTGAACTAAATCAGAGAAAGACAAATGCCATATGACTTCACTTACATGAACAAAGACAGACCAGAAATAGACTCATAAATATAGAGAACAAGCAGGTAGTTGCCATAGGAATGGGGGCAGGGTGATGGGCGAAATAGTGAAAAGGATAAAGAAGTACAAACTTCCAATGATAAAATAAATAAGTCATGGGGATGATGAGTATAACATAGAGAATATAGTCAATAATATATATGTTAATTAATATCATATGGTGAACTTCATAATTTATAAAATTGCTACCTCACTATGTTGTACACCTGAAACTAATATCATATATCAACTATACTTCAATTAAAAAAATTTCCAGATGACAGAAATGGAATATTGGGCTTCTTGTGTTTTGAGTCTGGAAACATTTGAATTGGTTATTTGTTTATTCAGAGGGCAACTAAGGAACACTTAAGTTACTAAAACTTGAAATGTGAATAATTAACTCCTTCCTGAGTTTGATCAACACTTTGAATGAAATGAAGCAATACATTATTTACATATGCACTGAAATTTCCAGTTTATGTCTATGTTTACAATGTAGAATGAGCTAGAAGTTCTTCCTCCTATTAGGCTCTGTGTTTCTACCTTTGTTACTGTACTTCCAAAATTGTATTATAATTAAATTATCTATAAATCTCTATTCCCATTTTCTTGTGTTCCTTGAGAGTAGAGACTGGGTCCTATTTTGGTTTGTATCCTCTATCCAGCATACAGGATGGCATCCATTAAATATTTGATGAATGATTCAATTAAAATAATGTTTTGTCAAAGTATGTTAGAAAAATAGCCTTATATTTGCACTACTATTACAGGAAACAAATTTCCTGATTTTAATATAAAGAACTTTCTATAGACAATTTTTACAAAAAAGTTACTTATTGATTAAAAGCATAATAACATATTTGCTATATTTCTGTCTTTTGCAACCCAAACGCGTAGAGAATAGTTAATATGTGATAAATGAGAGAAAGATGGAAAGCGGATGTAAATCACTTCTATTAACCTCTCTTTGTGGTTCAGGTTAGGGTTTTTTCCCCAGATAAAAAAATATCTGTGAGGATATAAAGCAAAGTATTTTCACTCTGGAGGTGCCTGGAGAACTAATTGTTTATCTTCTAGATGAACAGGGAAAATTTGAGGTTAAGGACACATACTTCTCAAGGAACTCCTCCACAAGGAGACTTGCTTTCCATTGATCCAAAATTGAGGTGTCTTTCATTCCCCAAACTGAAACAGGTGAGACTAGAAAGGAGAATGGTAAATATTAGCATCTAGAATTTTCTTTTACACTTAATATAAGGAAGCTAAACATTCACCTTTTATGTTATGGTATTATCTTCATTTGTTTGCAAATGTAATTTTTTCCAGTTATACCCAACTGCAAATATTTAAATAATCATTCTCATTACTACAATCCTCCCACCAAAAATCTCTCAATTACAGACAGAAAAACATCACCTAAACATAATGTCCTCATTTTTATAGCCTCTTTTCTGCTTATATAGCACCACCACCCCAGATAGCTCAACAGCTCATGTTATTCCTCATAAAGCCTTTATTAACCGTCCTAGCTCATGCTGATATATTCCCATGGAAGGGCCATAATATTGTGAGTTAACATGCACTCTGGTGCTTAATCATATACAGTCATATTTAAAAACTTCATGTATCTAAAACTGACCTCTTGTTCCTTAAGGACAGGAAGCATGTCATACAGCAGTGTCTGAAGAAGCAACTTTGAATGAAGAGTTAAAAGATCTGTATCCTACCACCAATGTTACTTCTTACTACTTTTGTTACAGTTAAGAAATCTCTTAACATCCTAGTCTGTGCCTCACTGAAACAACATGAAAGTTTAGTGGTTAAGAGTATAAGTTCTGGAATCACCCTGCCTAGATTGCTTATTATGTTCTTATTAACTGTATGATCTTGGGTAAATCTCTTAACCTCTTTGTACCTCAGTTTCCTATCTACAAATTAGGAATAATAATGGTCTTTCTATAGTGTTGTTGTAAAGATTAAATGTGACAAGACATATAAATTACTTAGAACATTGCCTGACATACTGTAAATGCCCAGTAAAATCTGAGTGTTATTTTTTTTTTTAAGAAGAAAAGAAAAAAAAGGGGGGAGAAATGACATTTTTTTCCTTCTGTACTTTTACAGAAGCAATTTGATGAATACTATACTTTATTTCCAACCTCACTGAGACTTTCAATCCATTGACCTTTTCATTTTTCTAATAGTCATCCTCCCTCATGTCCTCATGTCCTTTCTCATATAGTATAGGTTTCGTGGTCACTCCCATAATCTCACCCTTACAAAGACTTGATTCCTTTGCCTCTCTTTCCTTTGTACTGACTTAAGAAAACCCCTATTCTCAACTTTTTCTATATAGACTAGAACAGCTGAAAATTATTGGAAAAAAAATTGCCCAGCCATGTTGCATGAACTCATTTCAAATTATGACCGTAAATTTCAAATGGGCATCCAACATTGACAGATGATAATAGTACACCTTCCTAGTAAAACTGGCTTTCTCATTGTTTGAGACAACAGAAAATTGATATAAATGGAGAAGAACTGCCTCATTTTCTACCACCAATTCTACTATCTCATTGGCGTAAGTACCTACAAACCTTGCCTCCCATCACAAGAGAAGAACTATCCTGGCTTATTATCTAATACCAACTCCTCCAGTTGTGCTCTTGATACTATCTTTTTTACTAAGCTAAACTTTTTCTTTGCTGAATCATAATTTTCTCTTTTTACCAAGATCATTTCCATTGACAAACATTTTACAGTCTCTATCACACATTTTTTAAAAATCACACATCTAAAAACAACAATAACAAAACTTTCTTTACCCCATGTCTCCTTCAGCTAGTGTCATTCCTCAAGAGTTGTCTATATTCATCATCTTACGTCCCACTTTTCATTTCAATATTTTTTAATCAGGCTTTCATACCCAATATTCCAGTGAAATTACTCTTACCAAGGTCATCAATGATCTACATTTAGTCAGGCTAAGGTCCCTCACTATCCTCATCTTACTTGACCTTTAGCAGTAATCAATGCTTTTGACTACTTTCTCTTTTTTGAGATACTTTCTTCTTTAAATTCTACAATAACACATTCATTTGGTTTTCATAGTTCACTTGTCTTCTTTGCTGGTTCCTCCTACTCTATCTGCCTTCTAACTGTCAGAGGATTCCAGGGTTCTGTCTGAGGCTCTCTGCTCTATATACTCATGCTCTGAGTGACTTTATTCAGTTCCGTGAGTTTATGTGCAACCTACATAATGATGACTCCAATTTGAAACTCCATCTGTGCTCAAGATTAATATAATCAATTGCCTTCTTGATGCTTCCATTTAGATGTCTATTGACTCCAGCCACAAACTGGCTCCCCCATGAGTCTTTCCCTATTTTAGGAGACAGGACTGCCATTCACCTGGTTGCTCAGGTCAAAAACATAAAAGAAATTCTTTCTTAACCTCTCACTGTTGGCTCGACCCCTAAAGTAATCCCAATTTCAACCCCTTCTCGGATCGCCATTATTATAAGCCTAATCCAAGTCACCATCATCTTTTATGCAGAGTGTTGATTCTCCTTGTAGTCTAAATTCTGAACCACTACAATAGCTTCCTGATTGATTTTCCTGTCCCTACTCTTGCTTCCCAAAGCCTACTCCTTCCACTTTCCAGATAACCAGAATGATTTTTCCAAAGCATAAATCAGGTTATGCCACTCAATTTCTTAAAAACTCTCCAATGACTTACCACATCAGCCATAATAAAAGCAAAGTCCATATGATGGCCAGCAGAGCCTTCTATCTTTCAGAAACAAACTGCCTATTATACAGATCTCCTCTTTTACACTGAAAGTCACAGTGGCCTAATTTTTTGTTCCTTACACACATCAAGTTTATTCCTGAGTCCGCAGCTTTGCATTTGCTTGAAAGATTTCTCATATCTTTTTACGGTTTTTGCCTTCTCATCATTCGGCTCTCATTTCAAATGTCCACCTCTTCATAGAAGCCCTTCCCTAACCACCTTAGGAAATAGCATTTCCTACTCTTGAAGTTTCATAACACATTACACTACTATGTCTTCTTTATACATTTATCAGTGCCACATATTAGTTTATATATTTAATGTTTTTACTACTGCATCCTTCTTACCAGTCTGGAAGCCCACTGAGGGCAGGGACTATTTTGATGTCACATGTAACTGTGTCCATAGCACCACAGTGCCTGGTACAAAATACATGATAAATGAATGCTGTTAACTAACTTGACTTGTCCATAGAGGCTATCTCTTTCTTAAGTCCATGACATGACAAAAGCAAAATATGACTTTGTACATATACATTTTAAAATAGTTATATAGTTAATATATCCTTACAGCTTAAAGTAGCCCTCCTATAATTGAGCATGAGCTTATTATAATACAACAAATGTTTACAATGTCAGAATATTTTGACTTCATCATCTACATATCTTTCACTTATTCTATAATCTCTAGTGTAAGCTTTCCATTTCCTTAGTTTGTCACCTAAATTTCATTATAACAATATTAATTTATAACTTTCCTGAAATTCTGACTGAATAAATGAATTTTTATTTAATGAGGAAAGCACTGCATTTTCTTAGTAATTTACTGTGCTAAACACTGAAATAATTTTAAAAATAGATTTTTGAGCAAAAAAAAAAATACCTCTTGTCCATGGCCTTCTAAAGGTATCATCAGTAACTCCTACATAATTTCCATCTTGATATAAACATGAAGGGATTCGAAGTAACAAAGCATCTCTGCAAAACTTCTTTTTAACTATGCTCTGTGTAAGAGACATTATAAAATCTTTTAATGTATTCATCAAAGTTAACATTGATTTCTCAACATTCAGAAAATATAAATTTTCTCTTCTTTTAAATTTACATTATTTTTATTTAAAGGTAATACACATTATAAAACATGAAATAGCACAGAACCATATAACTGAAAAAGTCAAGGTCCCTAGTAATATCAGTAATAGCTTTTTCGTGTTCTACAAACTTTTTTTCCTAGATTAGGCAAAAATGTGTGTTTGTGTGTGTATGTGTCTCTTGGCTTTTGACAAAAACCAAGAACACATAATTTATATACCATTTAGCAAAGTCTTTTATTTTCACTTAACAGTATAATATGGCTTAACTTTTGTTTTCTGTCTTTATATTATTTCACATGTGACAACTAGCAAATATGTTCTAATGAAAAAAAAAACCTAATAAATAAAACTGTTTCTCGAAAAGAACATTAAATCAGTTAACTTATAAATCACAGTTCTCTATAATTTGGTTCTATCTTTACTTTGCATCTTTAGCTCCCATTACTCTCCAGTACTAACTGTTGTCTTTAATAGACTAATCTCCTCACTACCCTTCTTTTTTTTTTTTAATTTTTATTTTGGTATCATTAATCTACAATTACATGAAGGACATTATGTTTACTAGGCTCCCCCCTTCACCAAGTCCCCCCCACATCCCCGTTCACAGTCACTGTCCATCAACATAGTATCCTCACTACCCTTCTTGACATTTAGTGGCTACTGCCTCATCAACAATGTGGTCTACACTGTGCCTCTTAAAAAATGTCCTCCTACATTCTCTTGCTATCAAAATACTATTCATCTTTCAAGGCCCATTTTAAGCAATATCTCCTCTATGAAGTCTTTCCTCAGTGACTCTGAACCTCACACAAAATTAATTATTCTATATATTTGGACAAATGATAGTTTCTTTTATTGTTTCCCAAGACTTTTTGTTTGCTGAAAGTATAACATATTAAATAAGAGGTCCTCATTATCCAAGAACAAAAGGTACAAAGAAAAAAATCAGTTAATTTATAAAAATATGAAATGAAGACCAAATGTTCATAGTAAAAAGGAAAAAAAAAGCTTGGTTGGTATTTTACTTAAAAAAATGAAATAAATTTATAAAACCTAAATTGTATATGTAACAAAATTTTGTTTATAATAGCTTATAATTGTTTTCTTGTCATAATTTCCCCACACTTATATGATTACATGCATGATATTAGTCATTGCTTCACCTTTGATCATAAAGAAGATATTTTTAGAAAATATTTTAGGATTTAATCAAATTTTCCCATGGCATTGCTCTTTTGATATTCAAACCATTCTCTTCCTTTCATCTGTTAACTGATCTGATTTTGCCAAATCTTCATTTAGTAAAGGTTTACTTGTTATCTGAGTGATTCTTCAACACTGTTTTCATGAATTAACAAAATCCTGCATTTTTATGTCATTGATGATCATTGCACTTGTACTTTATCATAGGATGGTGGTACACCATCAAGAAACTAAGATACCATAGGCAAGGATAAAAGTTTGAGGATGATTCAGTACAGACTAATTTTGCAAGTGGACAATATATTCATACATATATTTGTGTAACAGTGACTTCTGATTCCCTGCCATGCATGTGCTACAATAACACATTTGCCTTGCTCAGTTATAAGGGAATAATGAAGCCTGAAGAAACCTATATGTCTTTCTTATTTCCTATAAAATGTAGCACAGTGTTTGTTACAATGGAGTCATTTTTTTTCCCTGGTAGATGGGGTCCTGGTAGAAAATTATAAAGAAAACCAAAATTTAACTTGTCAATTAAGATCATAAAAACAATGAATATGACAACTACTACAATTATTTTCTCAACAATATGCCCAGCTTCAATCTCAGCTTTGTACAAGTTATTAACTTTTCAGTTATTACATCAGTTTTCTAACCTGTAAAACCTATGTAGTAATATCTACCTTATGGAATAGTTATGATAATCAAATCACATAACTGATCAAAAGAGCAAATGATCAAATGATATAATCCATCAAAGGAGCAAAGTATATGGCTCATAGTAGGTAGTCAATATAAGTTGTTACTATTATTTTAAGATAACTGGGATTGCTTTTTCCACTCTTTTCAAGAAAGATCACTCAAAATTGTTCATAAGAGCAGCCTACACTTGCCATGAGTTTCCTTTTCTTTTCTGCTGACAGCTTCTACTTCAAGTTAAACTGTCAATAACTTCCTCCCAAAAGTTGTATTTTTAAGGTATATTAAAGTGGGAAGCAATTTTCAATGAATCTCAAAGTAATTAGACTAAGGATTAATCTAAGGACTACCGCAAAATTATCATAATCATACAATGAATGCAGACAACTTTTTATATCATAATTCTTAGTAAACAGGTATGATCCAGTAACACTCTACCTCATATAAATAGTCTATTGCACAATATTTGAATGGTGAAAACATATTTTCTTTCTTTAAATCAGTACAAATTTTGACACCTGAAAATACAAAAATTAAAATTAAATGTTAGTAACGTAACAAAGCCAGGAGCAAAAAGCCATTCTTAATCACAAAACTTTGGTTCATTTATTAAAAATAAAGGCTCTTAATGGTAAAAAATTAACTATAAAAACATTTATTACCATGATTTAAATCTAATAGGAAAATAATATGTTGATATAAAATTGTCCATATATTTTTCATATTGCTTACTCCATTCAACGTACAGTTAGTGGATGAAATATATTCCAGGTCATGATTTTGTTGCAAAAAAGGGTGGAATTCACAAGATTGGTAGAGTGGTTTTCTCCAGATAACCATATTTCTTAAGTGGTCTTAAGAAATCAAATAATCAAAGGTAAAACTGTGCTGAAGCAGAGGAATAGGATTTGGGAAATTTCACTCTCTTCTTAGAAAAGAAAAAGCCTAAAGTTAGAATTCCCTAATACCTAGCTCACTTGGAATAAAGCCCCTATGTCATATTATTTCTAGGTCAATAGGTCATTAGTAAATCAACAAATTTCATCTAATGAAGCAGTAAGTAAAATTTAGAATGCTGAATGAGTCAAGATGGTTCTCATTTATGTGAGAACCAGAGAAATTAATTACAGTTTAGAAAAGTTACTCTAGGAAAGAGTCCAGTTTATCAGATAGTTCTTAGCATTTTGATACATCATTTAAAATGTTTTGAGGAATTCAGATGTAAGTTAGAAGTTTTCATATAGTAATTTATAGTAGGTTTTTAGTTAACGAAATACACATTTTAATCCAAGTGGTCTTGCTTTAGTTTCATTATCATTTTTAATTTGTTTGAGGTTTATCTATTTTCTTATCTGTGGTAAATGTACCACACCTGAAGACCTAAAGATCTCATCTACATTAACTGGCTATGAATCTACTCCTATTTTCAGTTATCAAGTGAATATTCTTTTTTTGTTTGTTTGTTTGAGAGGGCATCTCTCATATTTATTGATCAAATGGTTGTTAACAACAATAAAATTCTGTATAGGGGACTCAATGGACAATCATTAATCAACCCCAAGCCTAATTCTCAACAGTCTCCAATCTTCTGAAGCATAACGAACAAGTTCTTACATGGTGAACAAATCAAGTGAATATTCTTAACTATTCAACTACTGGATTAAAAAAACTAAGCAAACGTCATAACTCAGAACACAATTATTTTGGCCAATGAACTCAAGACATTTTGAATATTACAATAAACTTTCCAATGAAAACAAACCCAGTAAGCTATCTGAATTATTTTTAATGTTGTTAGATTCTGTGGTATCAACAAATGTGGGGAATACATTACGTCGGCGCCCTCTTTCACTCTTACTTAAACAATGCAAAAATAGTGTTTTCTTAGGGGTGATTACTTATTTGAAAGTCATTACACTTCCATATACTGTATCATTGGTCTTCAAAGCAAATATTGATTCTGGAATTTCCACTTCTCAATACTGCACTTTCAGAAAAAAGCTGTTTCTAATTGTGCCTCATTTTAGTAGTCATTTCAAAAAAGTTAAAAACTAACTCTACCTAGTTTTATCCACTCAGTTTATTTTGAACACTTACCCTAAATTTTCCTTTCTTGTGAAGCCGATTATTATCAGCTTCAGATTCTTCACTCTCAACTATCTTAATAATTACTGTTGTACTGAAGTTAGTCATTTAAATTCATGCTAAATATATAGTACTTAAATAAGATACCATGTGTCATATACATTCATAGAATTTCTCCTGTCAGCTTTGTTTCATTGCATTACAGATATGTGAATCCATCTTATAAAAGTGGATGGATAGGAAAAGAGATAAACTGGCCTTATTTCTAAAATCAAAGACAAGGGGGAATATAAGCAAAATCATGGTTAGAGAGGTGTTTTAAAATAATCAACTTTTGAATTGTAGCAATTCCTGAAGTATTTTCTCTTACCTGTTTCTGAAGATTCTATTTCTCCCGTGCTACCTCTTGACAGGTATCTGCTGGGCCAAATGGAAACGCATACAAGTAATTACGCCAGACTCATAAGCACGGGCCAGAGAAGTAAGGTTTCTCAAGACTCTGCCCAGTTTTACTAAGGTATAATTTATAAATAAAAATTGCATATACTTAAGGTGTACATTTATGCAAGGTAGTATTATTCCCAAGATTATTTAGGACCATGCACAGCGGGGTGTACATCTTCAGGTTAGCTTCCCAGCTCCTCCCACCAGCCTAAGGCATCGAGATTTCTCTTTCCTCAACTTCCTTGCTTAAACCACATTTTAACCATGTAAAATCACGGAGGGGTTGAGGTTCATATATTTTCTTATACTGTTTAACCTATACAACTTGTCTTTAGCAGTTTGACTTTCCATTGGCCTTTCTGTGCCCTTCAACCCTCTATTCTCTTCTAATGAGGTGAGGGGGCCGCTGGCTCTGGGGTCTGTTCCTCATTAGGCCAGACCAGCCGGGACTCACAAATGTGTGTTCCGGAGACTTCAGAGCTGCCATACTCCAGCCCTTTCCTGAACTGTTTATTCTTCCCCTGAGCTCTAGAACACTTTCCCTCTCGCCTCTCTCCAGCCCCTCAGGCCTTTTACCGGAGGTGAAATTGCCTTCTACCGCTCTTCTCAGGAGAAAATTCCCGCGCACTGGACGTGTGATCTCTGCTCCTGGGCTCAGCACTGCCATTGGCCAGTCAGGCCAGGCCCCGCCCCGTCCTGCCCCTCCGTCTCCTGGCCCTTCCCGCTGCTGCTGTTGGGCGCATCCTGCGGAGGCCGCAGCGGGACAGGCCAGCCCCGGAGTCCTCGCGGGCGAGCGAGACCTTCGCCACACAGGGTGGAGGGTGACAGTAAAGAACGTGGCAGGAAGCCAGAGGAGCCTGTATGTTAGGTAGGGGAGACCGGACAAAGGAGTCGGACTTGTTTGGTAGTGGCAGCCCCATTGTCATTAGCTAATCCCTGCCAAACGCCTCAGGGCCAGAGGCAGGAAGGGCAGAAGCATTCCAGAGGTAAAACTGAGAGGATTTAGCAACCACATTCAGGGAAAGAGGAAAGCAGAAGGGAGGAGGCACATATGACTCGGGTGTCTGGCTATGGGCTGGCCATATCTTGATGGTGGAAGAACATTTGAGGAGGGGCAGGAGACCAACAAGTTAGAACTGGGACATGCAGGTTGTATACCTTGATTTATAGCGCCCCACCCCCACCCTGACAAACACCCTCATTTAGGAATCACTAGACCCACCAAATCAGGAAGAAGCATTGTCCCGTTCTCTGTATATCTTGCTTCCTGTCTTCCTTTCCACAACATAGCTTGGCTTTACATTCCTTCCCAGAAGATTGCAAGAGGTAACATGCATTTATTTATTTTACTAACACAGGGGTGTCTTTCAAGTTAATTTTTAACACAATAGTAATTATGAAACTTCTGGGTAAGACACATAATTTTTTTAGGTTACCTACTTCATTCTGTTTTGTACAGGTTTGGAATTTACATTCCAAAAACTTACAGGAATTTGTGTTAATGCCTGAGAGGGACCACTTTTCCAGAATACTTAACAGAAATGATTATTTTACACTTTAAAAATGTTTGCTGATTGGACACATGAAGAATACTATTTCATTGTTGTTCTAATTCACATTTCTGTGATTGCTGCTGAGATAAAACACTTCTTAGATGTATATGTGTGCTTTTGGTTTTTTGCACGAATAAATTGCAGTTTGTTTCAGCAGTTGGATTTAATGTTTGGCAATAATCAGTTATAACGATGCTCACCTGGCATTGAGGTCTATTAATTGTTCTGCATCCCTGGATGTTTACCTGTTATTAAAACCAATTTTAAATTAAGTAATTTGGTAAAAATTACAAAAGTAACACAATACTCATTGTAACCAGTACAGTCAACCAAGGATAAATACAGAAAAAGTAATCTCCATTAATGACCCTGATTCCCGGGTAACCAGTGTTAGCAATCTGTGATAAATCTTTTCATGCCTTCCTACATGTTTATACAGACATGCATACATAAAGTAGATTGGCCAATTACATAAAAATGGGTAACTTCTTTTCCTCACTAAAGAACACATCATGAACAGCCTTCCAGATCAAGATATGTAGATTTAGATTTAAGTAATTTTTTAACAGCTGTGTATTTTATAGTAAGCAAGTGCCATAATTATCCAAACATTCTGCTATTGATGGATTTAACAGATTGTGTCCAGTATTTTACCTTGAGAAATAATGCTGCAATAAGATATTTTGGGCAAATGATCTCCAGTATTATTGCTGTTATTTCTATGGTATAGATGTTTGTTGCTTTATTGGCTCAAATGGTAAGAGGATTTTTAATTTAATAGATATTGCCAATTTACATTCCAAAAACTTACAGGAATTTGTGTTAATGCCTGAGAGGGACCACTTTTCCAGAATACTTAACAGAAATGATTATTTTACACTTTAAAAATGTTTGCTGATTGGACACATGAAGAATACTATTTCATTGTTGTTCTAATTCACATTTCTGTGATTGCTGCTGAGATAAAACACTTCTTAGATGTATATGTGTGCTTTTGGTTTTTTTGCACGAATAAATTGCTTAATTGTGTGTGTATATGTGTGTGAAATCAGGTGACTCATCTATTGAGTAGGTTGTCTTTTTGAAGATTTTGTATATAGGTATATTAGTTAATATCAGGTTTGGCTATATAAAGAACAGAAAATTCAAAATAATACAGAATTTCTATTCATGTATATGAAGTTCAGGACTGATACAGCAGCTGTATCCCAAAGGTCCTCAGGGATTTATCTTCCAGCTTGTTACTCTGATATTCCTATGTTGTGATGCTTGATCTCTTGGTCTCAGGTGGCAATACCTATGTTTCAGACAGCAGGATGGAGAAGAAATGCAAAAGAGGAGAGGCCAAGGACGCGGTAAGTAAAATTGTGACATATAGTGTTTACAGAGAAAAGTACGTAAGGTAATGTATAGTTTAAAAATTATTTTAAAGAAACATCCATGCAACCTCCACTCAAGTGAAGAAACGGAACATTGCAACAATTTCAGAAGCTTCCTGTTTCCTTTTCTAATGACAACTCTCCCTAGAGGAAGTCCCCTCCTACACCTAGAGAGTACTATAATCCTTACTTTAGGGTAATCATTGCCTTCCTTTTCTTTAAAGTTTTACCCAAGTGCCATCAATGTCCTTGTACATGTGTCCTAGCATACAGATATGTTTATAATATAAATTTAGGAATGCATTTCTGTATTATTGAGTATGCATGTTTTCACATTTATTCAATAATGTCAAATTGTTTTCCAAAGTGATTGTGCCAATTTACACTGCAGTGTTTGAGAGTTCCCTTTGCTCTGCATCATTGCCAAACCTTAGCAATTTCATACTACTTAATTTTGAGAATGTGGTAAGTATCCAGCTGTCTCTTAAGGAAGATTCCTTAAGTTGCCACATTACACTTTTGCTTATGTCTCATTGGGTAGGCCCTAGTCATATGGTCATTCTAACTGTAATAAAGGCTAGAAGATTCAGTGTTTAATCTGGATAGTCATGTGCATAGTTACAACTTTGAGATTCTTTTATTGAAATAAGGAGACGGCAGATTTTGGGAAGTACATAGTAGTCTCTACCACATTAGAATAATAATTTTAAGACTAACTTTTATAAACACTTACCTATGTGCTAAGCACTATTCTAAACACTTTGCAGCTATTTATAAACTGGATCCTACATTACAAGCTCCAGTTTATACATAAGAAAGCTGGGGCTTTGGGAACTTGAGTATCTTGCCCAAGAATAAACAGCTAGAAGGAATGAGATGAAATTGCAAACCCGGGCAGTTTGGTTCACAGTCCTTACTTTCAGCTAGGCTGTACACTCCCTAAAAGGAACATTTGCTCTTGGTCTGTCGTATGTTTTGCAAATTTTTTCTCTTTGCTTACCTTTGGAAACTTCTAAGAGTAGTTTTCTTTATAGTAATTTTACCATATCTAAATCATCTGTGTTTTTTCCTCAGAAAATGTTTATGCATCATTTCTAAAATTATGCATATGAAGAGAATCTTAGAACAATTACTTTCTCTATAAGTTTTAATTCACCATTATTTGCACCATTATTATTTTGAATCTAGGTAGAAATAAAACAAATTTAGACACAGTTAAATATAAACTAAGCTGAATAGCCATAAAGGAAGTGGGAGAAGCCCCTCTACTATCCACATCAATTGCACAATTCTGTACACGGCTCCCAGGATGATTTTCTAAAACTACCAAGAATATCCCTCCCTTGCTCAAACTCTTTCATCTTTCTATTACATACAGGATAAATTCTGAAATCCTTAAACCTGGAACAACTACTCACTCAACCCCATTTACTTTGGAGTCCTGAACCATTGGCCATTGTCTGAAATTCTCCCAGATCCTCACACTTCCAAGTCTTTGTTTCTGCTGTTTTAATTTGTATTTTGATCATATGTTGAAATCTTATTTATTTTATAAGGTTTGGTTCAAATTCCACTGATATTCTAGAATTAGTTGTTACCTTTTTGGCATTCAAACAGTTTTTATCAGTATTCTGCCTTGGACAGTTTCATGCTTTTGTTTGTAGTTGATTTGTTCATGTCTATCTCCTCTGACTCCCAGACGGCAATCTGCTTGAGATCATGGACCATGGGCCATGTCTTAATTATCTTTATATACTTTGTAACTAGCACAATGCATTATCTAGAGTAAGCTCTGAAATGAATATTTAATTCACTTCTTGAAATCTGGCACTAGGTCATTTTGAAATAACACCTATCACAAAAATTGTCCTTTGTATTTTTTATTAAATGTAGACTTTCAGTGTTTTTGCAGGAACACTAACATGTATGAAATATTGTACACACACATGCCAAAGTGAACACAGCATAAGTATGGCAGAAAATCCGGTTAAGACAAAATTGCAGATTTGTTTAAACCAGATCATGCAGTAAATCTGGATATATGGAATGAAATACTATTGCACAAATATGTTGCATAAGTAGCTTGTCTTGTGGTTGCTAATTAATGGGTGTAGCTTCCCATACTACCTTTGATCAGTAAGGAGCTATTTTATTTTACATCATCAGTTGAAAGCAAACATTTTTACAAAACATACTTAATCTAATTCAAGTAGATAATTCTAGAAAAGAGCACGCAAAGAAATTTTCACAAGTATAGAAGAGAAACCTAACATTTCATATTTATGCAGTTTACCTTTTTTCAAATAGAGACGTTATTGTGGCCTATTTTTACATTTATCTCCATAAATACTATTGCTTTTCTCTGTTCCCATATTTAACTCCTCAGTGTTTTTCTGATTATGAGCCATTTATACCTCACCTTTTATTTAAATGTTTTCCACACTTTGAAAAATTCACGTAAGCTAAGTTTCTGTCCAGGATGAAAATTTTATCCATGTTTAGACTTGACTCTGTACTTTTGAAGAAGCCATAGGCTGGAATAAACAATTATGCTTGAGTGGATGTTTTCTTGGGAAAAATGGAAGGGCTAATTCACACTGCAGTTAATATTTCCTTAGGCAACATTTACTCTAACACCTTTGATATTTCATGGTCCATTGAGGTTAAGTGATTTGCCTGAAATTACATAGGTGGGTCTAGAACACAGGTCTTCTGACTTTCACCCAGTGAAATGGTTGCTCAGCTGATATATCCATCAGTTATTTTAAAGCACATATTATATGCAAGGAACTATGCTGCTTGGGGTGAGCAAATGATTATATTCTGTCAGTGTGGCAAAGAAAACAAAACATTTACAAAATTATAGTTACTCCCTGAGGAAATTAATGTCATAAGAATTATGGGAGTATAAACAGGAAATAATGCTTTATTATTTTAATAAGTTGTAGTGATACAGAATAATTGGATAACTCTTAGCTATTTCACCAGATTACACTCATGGGAAATACAGCTATTTGAACCACACAGCCTTAACAGCATACTATGTACCTAATGGAAAATGAGTCAACTTAAAAAATAAATAACCTCCTAAGGTCTAAACTTGCAAATTCAAACTAATAAGTTGTAACAAATCATAAATATCCATGGTTGCCAACACCATCCTAAAAAAAAGGTAGGAAAATCATCATTTCTTTTTCTTTCAAAAAAAATTCTTAATGTTGTTTGAGGATCCTTGATTATATTTATGCTTTATATTTTAAAAGTGAAAGAGATAGGGAGGGCATTGAACTAAATTTGGAAAGAAGAATATTATATTAGTAATATCTATACACAGGAAAAATAATTTTATGAAAAGGGTAGGCTTTTCCTATAAATCAAAAGATTTTATAAACAGCAATTCTTGTCACTTAATATATTTTAAATTTAGACACAATCTTGTACTTAAGAATATAACTAAATAATTTTTGAACACCTACCATGTGCTTGATATGTACAAACCCAATCAGAGGTTAAACAACTTGTATTGTCTTTTATAAGAAAAAAGAAAAATAGCTAGAAGCAACATCTAACACTGTCATTCAGGCTTATTCGTTCCACTAAAGGTACATGCTATGCAACTTCAGTTAGTTCTTCAATACCAGTTGTCAATCATTATATCCTATGGAGTTGGTTGGTGGTGGTGGGAGGGAGTCAATGTGTGCCAGCAATATTTTAGATGTGAGAAATAGAGTCTCAAGACAATGACCGTATCTTAACGTGCCTTATATTCCAACATTAGACCAGTGAGTCCCATTTGGAGGTGATTTTGCCTCTAAGGAGGTATTTGGGCATATCTGGAGAAATTTGTCACAACTGGGGGAGAGGTGCTACTGACATCCAATAGGTAGAGGCTAGGATGCTGCTGAACATCCTAAAATGAAGCAGAAAGCCTCCCACCTCCCCTAAAAAAGAATTGTCCAGCTCAAAACACCAATAGTACCAAGGCTGAGAAATCCCAATCTAAACTAACTGAAAACAAAACTATTTCCACGCTCTGCACTCTTCTAGTCACATATATTTTTTAAAAACCCACCCCTTTTCCTGCAAATAACTACACATTCTTCTTGAATGAGAAGTTGTGTTCCTTCATTTTTGTATTTTTGTCTCAAAATGTCTATGTAGCCTCATTTGACATTTCTTACTTTTCTTTCTGTGGATAAGTATAAGTATTCCTCTTTCTTTCCAAGATGATTCTCTTTCAGTATTTATCCCCTACCTTATTCCCCAAATTATTCATGCTACTGAAAAAAATACATTCTGTATTACAGAATAAAAACAGAAGAAATTAGGCAAAGCAAAGAGTACTATTCCCCTTGGATTCTTTATCTCACCCCCACTCACCTCCCGAGAATTTAGTCATAGGTTATTTCGTCTCACATACATCTTCATTCTCTCCCGTAGAATGGGTTTCCATTGTGTCTAAAAAGTGCTTAATTATGTTCTCTCTTAAAATATTCTCTTAAACTCTTATTTGGATTTATTTTGATCCTTCTTTTTAACTTTTCTTTATCCTCTAGGACTCCTAGACTACTGTAATTTTCTCCTAACTTCTAATCTAGTCTGCATAGTATTGTAGAATTTAGATTATGCCCACTACTCTCATCAGTCTTTGTGTTGTCAACCAGTGCCTATACGTAATAACTGTGCCATATCAAATATCTTTTATGTACAAGGTACTATGCTTGGAACTTTAGTTTTAGTATTGCCATCATATAGATGAGACACTGAGGCTTAGTGAGGTTAGGTGACTTGCTCAAAACTATATAGCTAGGAAATGAGCCAGGATTCAAACCCAAGTCAGTCTTATGCCAAAGTCTAATTTTATACAACTTACCATCCCTTAAGGAATCAAGTCCAAAGTCCTTAGTTTGTCCTTCAGGGCTCTGTGATCTGGTCCAAACTTTTTCTAGTTACTTCAGAACCTTCATCCACTTCTA